GGATAATGATGGTTATTAAGCTTTGTGGGAGTACTTATAGTTGACCGACCCACACTTTGTGACTTGTGTACTGCAAGTGCAACAGCGCGTCAACTTACATTTGTTTTTATATTTTGAAAATATTTGCAACTAATATAATCAAAATAAAATAAAATTATGTATTCTCGTAAATATATATATATATATATATATATATATATATATATATATATATAGTTAGTTATATACACAGAGTTATGCAATAAATCCACATATATTGTAGAGTAGGGACATAATTCTGGTCCCTGCATTAACCTTGAATCATGCCAATCATCCCATGATAACAAATAGCCATAATAAATATGTGATTTTATTTCCAATAGTGCTTAAATTAAAATAATTAAAAATAAAAAATAAAAAATCCAATAGGGCTTTATTCAATTTGGACATGACAATTATCATTATATTCAACAAGCCCATAATCTCGAACCACAACACTTGGGGCCCAATTCAAGGAGGTCATAGGATTTGCATGTATGACTAAACTTATTTTAAATATATGTTACGTTTTATTTTTAAAATTAGATTTTATAATATTTCAAAAACGAGTTATGAGTTACTTCCTCCTTCTCATTTTATATATCAAAAATTAGAAATTTTTAACTCCACTGGGTTATCAAATTAGGGTTCTATTTTGATAATTCAACTTTTGGGATGTAAAAATACTTGTCGAAAATTGAGTTATCAAAAGTATAACTATCTAAACATCCAATCAAAAGTGGACATGTGGCAATTATAAATAAAATCACCCTTAAACTTCCAATTGATAATTAATTTGATAACCATGGTTAGAGTAGATGAATTTTAATCAATATTAAAACATTATATCAAATATCAAATAAATATTTGATAATTCAATTTTGGTATTTAATATTAGAGTTGCTCTAAACCCATAATCCAAACATCTTATCAACTATTTTTTTACTAATAATAAGATTTTAAATAAAAAGTTGAGTAGTTGTATTTTGTTGCAAAACAAAAATCTTAAAAGCTCACGAACAACTTAATATTTTTTAAAAACAGTTACCAAACATTTCATAAGAATTTATAACTTCTTAAACATCTTATAAGCTATATTTAATAGATTATTAGCAAAACGAACTTTTAAGTTGTATTTATATGATAGAATTTAATGACCAACAATTTTCAATCATAATAATATATAAATCTTTAAATTTGTTTTGACAAATTCTTACTAGTGGATTTTAATCTCAAATTAAAAACAATATTTTAATTCTAAAAGAGTAAGTGACAAACACACAAGTATTAAAAAAGAAAATAATAAATAAAATAGAACCAATAATTAATTTTATATTATTTGCTTTCTGATCCAACCAATCCTCAACAATCAATATCCAGCCCCTGTTATTATTTCACCTCGTCAGATCGAAAAGAAAAAAATCTTGATCAAGAAATTCAAATAAAAAATCATGATCCAATCAAACCTAATTCTTCTTCTTCTACCGATTCTCTCTCATCTCCTTTTTCAATTTTCCTCGTCGTCGGAAATCACCGTTTCCGTCAGCTCCAGATCCATACCCAAGTCCGGCGACCCAATCACCGTCAAATGGTCCGGCATTGATTCCCCATCGGAGCTCGATTGGCTCGGTATTTATTCACCCGCTAATTCTACTCACCAGAACTTCATAGGTTACATTTTCCTTTCGTCCTCACCGGAATGGCAATCCGGGTCGGGTTCAGTCACCATCCCCTTAATCAACCTCCGATCCGATTACCAGTTCCGGGTCTTCCACTGGACCGAGTCCGAAATCAACCCGAAGAAGCAAGACCACGATCACAACCCCATACCGGGGACCAAACACCTGCTCGCGCGATCCGAAACCGTCCGGTTCGAACCGGGCCGGGGACCGGAGCAGGTTCACCTGTCGTCGACGGGTAACGACGGTGAGATGCGGGTCATGTTCGTGACCCACGATGGGAAGGAGAGCTTCGTGAAATACGGGTTGACCCGAGATAAAACGGGTAGGGTTGCGGGCACCCGTGTGTCGAGGTACGAGAGGGAGGATATGTGCGACACGCCGGCGAACTCCAGCATCGGGTGGAGGGATCCGGGGTTTATACACGACGGCGTGATGGTTGATTTAGAAGATGGAAAGAGGTATTATTATCAGGTAATAATAAAAAAAATCATTTCTTTCTCTCACTACTATTTCCAATTTTCAACAATCATGAACTTGCAATTTTTTGTTAATTACAAACAAAAATTGGCAGGTGGGCAGTGATTCTGGGGGTTGGAGCACAATTTACAGCTTCGTCTCGCAAATTAGGGATTCAACTGAAACGACAGCGTTCTTGCTTGGAGACATGGGCACATACACGCCGTACTCGACTTTCGTGCGCATACAAGAAGAGAGCATCGCCACCGTTAAATGGATAAGCAGAGACATCGAAGCTATAGGCGAAAAGCCCGCTTTGATCTCGCACGTCGGAGACATAAGCTACGCCCGAGGCTATTCTTGGTTGTGGGACAACTTCTTCAATCAAATCGAACCCATTGCATCCAAAGTACCCTACCATGTCTGCATAGGCAACCATGAATACGATTGGCCAGCTCAGCCGTGGAAGCCCGATTGGTCTTATTCGATCTACGGGAAAGATGGTGGAGGAGAGTGTGGGGTACCTTACAGCCTCCGATTCAACATGCCCGGAAACTCGTTGGAACCCACCGGAACAAGATCACCCCCCACTAGGAATCTTTACTATTCGTTCGATATGGGTGTGGTCCACTTCGTCTATTTCTCCACAGAAACCAACTTTCTTTCGGGGAGTAAACAGTACGAATTCTTGAAAAACGACTTATCATCGGTCGACAGAAACAAGACGCCTTATGTCGTTGTGCATGGCCACAGGCCGATGTACACAACCAGTTATGAAACGAGAGATGCCCCTTTTAGAGAGAGATTGCTGGCTAATTTAGAACCTCTTTTTGTGGAGAACAATGTTACGGTGGCTTTGTGGGGGCACGTGCATAGGTACGAGCGGTTTTGTCCGCTTAATAACTTCACCTGTGGAAGCTCAGGTTTTCCCGTGCATATGGTGATTGGGATGGCGGGGCAAGATTGGCAGCCTATATGGCAGCCCAGGCAGGACCACCTCGAAGATCCGATTTTTCCTCAGCCCGTTCGATCTTTATACCGTGGTGGTGAGTTTGGGTATGTTAGGCTTGAGGCGAATAGGGAGAGACTTACGTTGTCTTATGTGGGGAACCATGATGGACAGGTGCATGATGTGGTGGAGATTTTGGCGTCGGGGCAAGTCTTTAATGGCCGTGCTAATATGATCGTTGCTGGTGGTGGTGGTGGTGGTGGCGGTGATGGCGGTGTTGTAATTTCGTGGTATGTTAAGGTTGCTAGTATACTGGTTCTTGGCGCTTTTCTCGGGTATGTTGTAGGGTTCGTTTCGCGTTCGAGAAGGGATGCTGCTTCGGAGGCGAAATGGACTGCTGTGAAGAGTGAGGATATTTGAATTTCGTCGAGTGCTGTAAGAATTTCTTCTTGTTTGTAAATCGGTTTTTAGATTGATGCAGTAAGGTACGGCTAAAATGCTTTATATCCGTTTTCTTGTTCCGAGCTTTCTGCTGTAGTACGAGTCGATTCGAGGCTTTCGCACGGGGCTATAATTGAGTGTGCACCGTTGATGGTTGCCCTATTATAGTGTGTAGAATAATATTAAATACTATACTTTTTGTTGATTTTTTTTTGAATTTATATTTTTTTGTTGGAATTAGAAGTAACATACTACAATAATTAGTTATACTGCAAGCATCCTTATTTTCAGTGTATTTAATTGTTAAAAAATAAATACTATTTAATTAAACACTATTTATTAAACCAAACTTGGCATCAAGATTCAAGAATTCACTTGTAGATAAGCAAGAATTGCTATTTCACAAGTAATTTGCAGGTTATGTTCAAGAACAAGTTAGTTCACTTGCTGGTAAGAAAACTCTCATAAATTCTTTTATAATGGAAATAAACAAATCAAAATTAAATTTACAACTTGCCTAAACTATTTTCCCAAGAAATGGCTACAGAAACAAGAATATTCAAAAGGGTAAAAAAAATAATGAATTACAAATATAAGCTGATATTTAATATTTAGCTTTCTCTAGTCTATATATAATATAACTATCCAATCAATTTACGTGCACGTTGGTTGGCTCCTTTCACTCGAGAATTTAGTTCGTCGACATCTTCTTGAAGGTCATCAAGAGCCTTGTTCTGCCTGTACAATCATTATCCACCTTTTCTTTGTTATATATTTATTTAAAAAACTAGAAAATTAATCCGTAAGACGAGTAGTAGTTGTAACCTGTCGAGTTCAGATCCCATGCCAACAGCCATGCCCTTCAATTCACCTAATATATCTCCAAGGTCCGATAGTGCATCGTCTTGTTTTGCCTTCTCCAACTAATATTAACATAACATCAACGCCAACAAATTAAAAAAAAAAAAAAGTCAACAAAATCGAATATTCACTCTTCGTAAAGTCAACGAAGATGTACGTACCTCAACTTTCTGCAGAGCGTTTGTCGGTTCGGGAGGAGGTGTTTTAGAGCCTTTGTGTGCTGGAGCTAAACCTAACTTCTCTCTCTGCTCTGCTGAACTTCTCTTTCCTGTAGTATTATCATCTGTAGAACAAACAAACTAATCGTCAATTATATATATGCGCTAATAATCACACGATTAATGCAGCCAACGAGTTCGATTAACGAATAGGGGAAGATTGTCGAGAAAAAAAAACCTTTGGAAGTTTTCGGGCCTGTAATGTTCTTCGTCTTCTTAGGCTTCCACGGCATAGAAAACATGCCTCCGAGATTATTCAATAATTTCTCGCCCTGCAAGAGAAAATCATTTAAAACCATCGTCTCCTCGAAAGGAGTTTATTGCATTTAGCACCCTGTGTTATACTGATATTGCTAAAAACTCCCCGTGTGAGAAATATTATAGCAAACGCCCCCCCCCTACGATGCATTTCTTTTAACTCACAACCCCCTAAATGGTGAGTTTTTGGGGGGTAGTTTGCTAATATTTTTATAACGCAAAGAGGGTGCTAAATGCAATAAACCCGAAATGAATCTTGAAATAGTTGTACAACACACTTTCTAGCAAAACATTGCATTTCATGCGTTAGAGAGGGAAAAAAAATATCAACTAACTGCATCGGAATTAAAAAAAAGAACGACAATGTCGATTAAGTAAGTGAAACTGTTAGACCTTGCTGAGGTCACGGTCCATGTCAGCAGCCATGACATGCGTACGGTGGATCTGCTCTCCCTGCTGGTGCAGAGTGTCGAGTGTCTTGGTGGCGTCTTCTCTAATATCTTCGGCAATTCTCAAGCAATTGTTGACCGACTTAGTCGTCTGCTCGGCCTGGTCAACTGCGTAGCCCTCCAATTCTTGAACGGACATACTTTCTAGATCTTTCTTCTTGTGCTTGTTCCTCAAAGAAGATGCCGGCCCTCTTCCGAAAAAGTCGTCATCGGAATCGTCCGGAATGATAAGTGCCGGTTCGGAAGAAGTTCTTCTTGCAGGTGTAATCGTTGTGCTCTTCTTGGCGCCTGATTCTTCGTCGGAATCGAAAGGGTTTGTCGCGTCCACTGATTGCTGCCGGGGCGGTTTCTCTGCGGGCGATTTCTTAAAGCCGAACATTTTTTTTTGCTGCCAATCGGTATGTTCTACCTAAAATGAAATTGCTCATCTTAGAAACTCCTCAAATCCTAAATGACTAACATCTTGAAAGATAATTAAGAGATTTATGATCTCTCTCTCTCTCTCTCTCTCTCTCTCTCTCTCTCTCTCTCTCTCTCACACACACACACACACACACACACCACAAAGCATAAAATTCCCTCTAATTGAATAAAGTACACATATTGTTAACATAAACATATGCATACATATACAAGACATAAGGAATCAAACAAAACCAAAAAAAAAAAAGGATATTTTTTTTTTGATTTTAGGGCTTCTCGCCATCAATCGACTCGATTTAAGAAATCAATTGGGTTCGAAACATGAATAATCATAAATCAATTCAAAATCATCAAAATCGATGATAAAAACCCATGCAATTAATCACCTGATCAGGCCTAAATGATTTCAACCGGCACAAGAAAACAACAGAATCATTCTCAGGAAAACAAATAGAGAAAAAAAAAAAAAAAAAAACAAACCTTTTGAAGTAAAACGGAATGAATTTTCAGGATGATCAGATTCCGTAACGTATTATGAAAAGATGCCCAACAGATAGATGAGAAAATGCCCGACAGAAAAAAAAAATTAGAGATGCCGAGGAAAAACAGGGGGGCCAATTTTCTCGACCGTTGTCGCTGAGGATCTTTCGCGGGTTTTTTTTATCATCTAGAAAACATATGGGCTTTGATTTGGGCTTTTTGTACATCGCAAGTATATATTTTCCTAATTGCATGTCACCCCTATAAATTTCTAATTTTTGCACTTTACCCTCTACAAATTAAAAAAAAAAAAAGTGAATGCGCCCCCTTCAGAATATTAGTTTTGTTTCACATTGCCCCGATAACAATATTTCGATTGATTATTTATCGGAATTGTGTGTCTCTGTTGCACATTGTCCCTTTAAATATTATTTTTATTGCATGTTGCCCGTTATTTTTATTGCATGATGTCCATAGAAAATTATTTTTTAGGGCAAAGTGCAACCTAAACAATACTTTGAGGGGACGTTATCCCTTATTTAAACTTTTAAGGGGGAAAATGCAAAAATAGAAAATTTATAGGGAGTGAAGTGTATTTTGTCCTTTATAAAATTTAGATCCCAATTATTTGACAAAAAATATTTATATTGTCTATTAAATATCTTCAAAATTCCATGCATAAAATATTTAATTAATCAACAATTTCCCTTTATAATTACAAAGGTATTCATTTGTTGTATGATAAGAAAAATTGGTACAAACATTTGGAAGAAATTCAGAAATTAAATTTGATTAATATATGTAATTAACAATCAATAAATAGTATAATGAAAACGAGATATTTGAAGACCAATTTATTCCTTGGGGGCATTTAGTGGTAGTGAATGAAAAGACAAACGTGCCCTTGTAACGAACGACTGCACTTGAGAGAAAAAGGAACAAGAAAAAGGTTGGTGACAACTAATTTTGAGTCCCACTCTTTTTGTATTGTTCTTGTTTGCACTCTCTTTGCTGTAGTTTTTTGTTTCCACATTTTGGTGATATTCTCTACAAATATCTATATAGCATGATATAGATTAGATATTACTATATATATATATATATATATATATATATATATATATATATATATATATATATATATATATATATATATATATATATATATGTTGATGTGCATACATGCAAAATGTTATAAATCTACACACACACAATTAAATATAAACTTTTAAAATTATGCGAGTAAAACATGGAACAAATCGAACTGAAACGAGGCGGAACAATTTAAAAAAAAACATAAGTAAAGTTTTAAATAAAGTGCTATCAACTAATATTTTTTCAAAACATACATTATATCATGGTAGTTAAACTCACGAGATATCGCGATATTTATCGCGATACGGTACGGTCCCAATTAAAACGATACAACTCGCACTCTGTATCGGCTATATTTAAATATCGGTAAATATCGCGAGATATCGTATCGTATCGCCATATCACGATACGGTACGATATTTACGATATTAGTCAAAATATTTAAAAAACAAAAAAAAAAAAACAAAAGATTCACAATTTCAGGACTGAAAATCGGATTTCAAAATAACCCTTCAAATTCACAATCCTATTCCACCTTTCTCTCTTCAATTTCTTCAAAAACTATTACCTTATGGCAACCCTAACTCAATTTTCATAGATTCTTGTTATTTTTTTGCGATTCAAGTGCGAGTTTGACTGAGTTTTGCGTAATTTGAACGGAATCGCGATTTAAAAGCACTTTTTCGTCCTTTTTGTCCTCAATTAGCCTTGGGTTTGTAGTGATGGGTTTGCTTAATTGAGGTTGGTTACTTGATTTGTGGTGATTGATTCAATTTTCACCTTATTTGAGGTGTTTGTGCGATTTTCAGAATTGATTGAAGAGATTAATGAACACGAGGATGAAGACAATCGTTTGACATTGGTTGATGAAGAAGATTTAAGTGACATTGATCTTGAAGATTATGAGTTAGTTCTTTAGAAATGAGGAATTCAAATTTGAACTTTGTTAATGTTATTTTAAGAGCAACTATGATTTTTTTTTTTCCTATTTTATAATGCAATGTTGAAATTTGAAACTTTTTTACTTTAAAATATTAAATTTTACATATTTATAGTATTTCTATTATGTAAATATATATATTTTATTATTTTTAATAGTTGGTTAAATATCATGCGATACGAGTAAAAAATCAAGATCTTGTGACAAATTGTTGTGGAGATATTATCAAAATTCAAACAACAAAAAATAAAATAAAATAACATTATGGGCAAATTGCACATCACCCCCTGCAAATTTCTAATTTTTGCACTTAACCCCTCAAAATTTTTAAAAGTGAATGTCCCCCTTCAAAATATTATTCTTGTAACATATTGCCCCGATAGCAAAATTCCGATGGATTATTCATCGGAATTGAGGATTTTTGTTGCACGTTGCCCCTTAAAAACATTACATTTTTGCACAATACCCCTTTAAAATGTTATTTTTATTGCACAATGTCCTCTAAAAATAGGCCAATGGCGGAAAGTACAATCAATATAAAAATTCGAAGGGGGATATCCATTTTTATAAGTTTTGGGGGGGAAAATGCGCAAAATAGAAATTTATGGGGGCAAAGTGCATTTAATCCTAAAACAATAGATAAAATAATAAAGAATAAAAATATCTTTTCCAGTGGTGTGAAACCAACCAACCAAATTTCCCTTCCCCCTCGAGCAGCCGCGCTTTTACAGCTTCATCAACTTCTTCAATCTTTGATCAACCCTGAAAACGAAGGTCGATTCACAGAGAATTAATGGAGGTTTCAGCACTGTGTAATTCACACACAGTGAGCTCCGCCACCAGCATTGCTCTGTTAACTAACCACCGCAAATGGGAGTTCTCATTCAACAAACAAACGCCGTCGTTTCGTTCCCGCAGCTCCTTCTTCATCATCAAAAACGTAGCCAGTAAGAAACAGACCCAGAAACAACAACAACAAGAACAAGGTTAATTTAATTTTCTACAGCAACCCTAAATTTTAAAAATCCTGTCTTGAAATTGCATTTTGCACCCTGTTTTCTCTGCTCCATACCTGATAATTCCCCACAAATTTCAAATTTCCCCCAATTTTCGAGATGCTATTTATATATATATATATATATATATATATATATATATATATATATATATATATATATATATATATATATATATATATATATGTGTGTGTGTGTGTGTGTGTGTGTGTGTGTGATTATTACTGCCACTAACTGTGTTGAAAGATTGAATGAAATGAAACCCTTGTGATTTTCATAGGGGGTGCATTGGATGCACTGAAGCCAGACTCTGCATCGATTGCGTCGAGTATAAAGTACCACGCGGAGTTCACTCCATCGTTCTCTCCCGAGCTTTTCGAGCTTCCGAAAGCGTACTACGCCACCGCCCAAAGCGTTCGCGACGTGCTCGTTGCGAACTGGAACACCACGTACGATCACTACGAAAAGGTCGACGTAAAGCAGGCCTACTATCTATCCATGGAATTTCTCCAGGTTCGATATATATGTATATGTATATGTATATATATTTCCATCTTTATCAAAAAAATCAATATTGTTCTTGATTTTCAATTTAATTTTATGTGTCGATAGGGTAGAGCATTGTTGAACGCGATCGGTAATTTGGAGCTCAAAGGGCCTTACGCGGAGGCGCTCAAGAAGTTGGGACACGATTTAGAAGATGTAGCTAAACAGGTGAGAAGGGGTTTTTGGTAAGTTTTCGACGAAGTGTAGTCGAATGTTATCAACCGTTAATGTGTTTTTGTAGGAACCGGATGCAGCGCTCGGTAATGGTGGATTAGGGCGGCTTGCTTCTTGCTTTCTCGACTCAATGGCTACACTTAATTACCCAGCTTGGGGTTATGGACTTAGATACAGATATGGTTTATTTAAGCAGCTTATTACCAAAGATGGTCAAGAAGAAGTTGCTGAAAATTGGCTCGAGGTACGAAAATATCTTCGCTATATTTTCTCAACGGTTTTTTTTTTTTTTTTTTTTTTTTTTTTCCGCGTAATTAAATTCTTAAATATTTGGACTAGATGGGAAATCCGTGGGAAATAATACGAAACGATATTTCCTATCCCATTAAATTCTACGGAGAAGTCGTCGAAAGTAGTTCCGGTAACGGAAAGAAAGAATGGATTGGAGGAGAAAACATAGTTGCTGTTGCCTATGATGTTCCGATACCAGGTTACAAAACCAAAACCACCATCAACTTGAGGCTGTGGTCAACAAAAGTCAACTCAGAAGTTTTCGACTTGCGTGCTTTTAATAACGGAGATCATCCAAAAGCGTACGAGGCCATGAAAAGGGCCGAAAAGGTATGTCTGAAAATTAAAGTCCCTTTTTTTTCAGACAGTCCGATATTTCCGAAAAATATGACCGCTTTGTTTCTTTTTCCGGAACAGATTTGCTATATTTTATACCCAGGCGACGAGTCGTACGAAGGGAAAACACTTCGACTGAAGCAACAATACACACTATGCTCAGCTTCTTTACAGGATATTGTATCGAGATTTGAGAGGAGATGTGGCGAATTGGTAAATTGGGAGAATTTTCCGGAAAAAGTTGCTGTGCAAATGAACGATACTCACCCGACTCTGTGTATACCTGAGTTGATTAGAATATTAGTGGATGTGAAGGGGTTGAGTTGGAACGAAGCATGGGCTATCACTCAAAGGTATAAAATGTGTCAATCACTTGTGATTTTGTTCGTTCTTAAATCTTACTGTCGGTTTGTTGTAATATATATAGAACTGTGGCGTACACTAACCATACGGTTCTTCCTGAGGCTTTGGAGAAATGGAGTTTGGATCTTCTTCAAGAACTTCTTCCTCGACATGTTGAGATTATAAGACTGATTGACGAAGAGGTATTTCGCTTTCTTGACTTTGCTCGAAAAAACAAGTCACATATTTGTGGGTTTTTTTTTTTTAATTTTAAATGCAGCTTGTGAGTACAATTGTCGAAGAGTATGGTACAGAGGATCTGGATTTGCTGAAGGAAAAGCTGAACGAAATGCGGATTTTGGACAATATCGAACTACCTTGTGCTGTCTTAGATTTACTTGTTAAGTCACACGAAATCCCTGTCGAGAATTCTGTCCAAACAGAAGAAGAAGATTCCGAATCTGATGAAGTGGCACAAGTCAGTGGCAAAGAAGAAGAAGAGAAATCTACCGACGAAGATAAGGAAATTGAAGTTCCAAAGGTGAGCCCCATTGATATAGTCAAGTCAGCGTTTGAACCCGATCCAAAACAACCTATATATATATATATATATATATATATATATGGTGGTAATATTCTAGATAAAGCGCATCCACGAGTACAAGAGACAGCTGTTGAATATACTGGGAATCGTTTATCGATACAAGAAGATGAAGGAAATGAGCGCTGAGGAGAGAAAATCTAAATTTGTTCCGAGAGTTTGCATATTCGGAGGGAAAGCATTTGCTACTTACGTACAAGCTAAGAGGATCGTGAAATTTATTACCGATGTGGGGGCCACGGTAAATCATGATCCTGAGATAGGTGACCTTCTCAAGGTATACACAAACATACATACATATATTATTCTCTAGTCTTACAAATTAAGATACATGGTAACATTAAAATTTATTAAGTGATTAACCATTTTGTTTTGTTCTGTTTTTTTTGTAGGTCATCTTCGTACCGGATTACAATGTAAGTGTTGCCGAAGTTCTTATTCCTGCCACTGAGCTGTCTCAACATATCAGGTACTTCACCTAAACCATATACATACATACATACATACATATATATATATATATATATATATATATATATATATATATATATATATATATATATATATATATATATATATATATATATATATATATATATATATATATATATATATATATACTCTCTCTCTCTCTCTCTCTCTCTCTCTCTCTCTCTATATATATAGGGGGGGAGAGGGGGAGAGAGAAACAAACAATAAGATATTTGCAGAGAGAGAGATCTCACTTATAAGAACAATAGAGGGCGCCTGTGTTGAAATAAATATATATATATATATATATATATATATATATATATATATATATATATATATATATATATATATATATATATATAAGTACATCTACTTACAGCCCTAACCTCTCTCTCTCTCTCTCTCTCTCTCTCTCTCTCTCTCACATAGCACGGCCGGAATGGAGGCAAGTGGAACAAGCAATATGAAATTTGCAATGAAATGGGGAGGCTTACTTTTTAGGAAACATTAGACGGGTGCCAATGTTGAAAATAAAGGGAAGAAGTTGGAGAAGACAACTTCTTTCTCTTCGGTGCTCGTGCGGACGAAATTGCCGGCCTTCGTAAAGAAAGAGCTGAGGGAAAGGTATTTTACGAGACGTAAAAATTCAATAAATCCCATATTAAACAAATATATGCATACTTGTAGTATATGTGTGCATGGTGTGCAGTTTGTGGCGGATCCTAGATTCGAAGAGGTGAAAGAGTTCGTTAAAAGCGGTGTATTCGGACCCTACAACTACGACGAAATGATGGGCTCTTTAGAAGGAAATGAAGGCTATGGCCGAGCGGATTATTTCCTAGTTGGCAAAGATTTTCCGAGTTATCTCGATTGTCAAGAAAAAGTTGACCAGGCTTATAGAGATCAAAAGGTGCGTTTTTTTTCTTGCCTGCTGTGAATTCCCTACTTTTCCATGTGTTTTGATCTATGCATACAAGATAACCTTGCAAAATCGAAAACGAGTGTATATATAGAAATGTTTGTTATTACATTGTGATTTTATCTTACACTGAAAAAAGTTGTTATATTTTGGATATGCAGAATTGGACCAAGATGTCGATATTGAACACGGCTGGTTCGTCAAAGTTTAGTAGTGACCGTACGATCCATCAGTATGCGAGAGAAATATGGTCGATCGAGCCCGTCTTGTTACCATGAAATAGAAAAACAATTTAGAAACACACTTTTTAAAGTTACAATCGATCTCCACAAAGATTGCTTAATTAAGCCAATTTTTTTTAGTACGATTATTGATGTGGCTAATATAGCTATAGAGTTCTTTCCTTGAGTGTATTTTCGTGTTCGTTCTTTCGTTGCAAATTTGTACGACTATATATAGTGAAGTATACTTGACCACGGTTCATTTATGTAACAACTACAAATCCGCGGCTGTCGCAAATTATCGATCGAGATTAACTGATCGTTGTGAGCTATTAGTTAACCGACCGTTCGATCGTTTAAATTTAATTATTGATAATAAATAAAGGAATAATAAATAAAGGAATACACCTTTTTAGTTGTGGTCCATCTTATGATAATATTGAAATCCACAAAACATAGTGAAATGACGACTTAAAGTTTGCATGATTATTGAAAGTGCACTCAATTTAGGGCAAAATATTGCAAGGTTCATGCATAGGGTTTCTTCATTTTCTTGATTCCAATCATTAGTGAGTAACATTTTATAAATTTTGTGTAATCAAAGAAAATTATCTAATTCCACGTGGACTGGAAATTTCTTTTATTTACAATTTCCCATTTAACTTTGATTTTTTTTTTTAAATATTGAAAATTTTATTTGGGCATTGTTATACTATTAATGAAACAAGATTGATGCGGTCAACAATAAGTTAACTCGAATCACTTCAAGATAATTCTCGAACTTGCAATAAATATCCAAGAACCGAAATAATTCTTCGATAATCTTCTTCAGTTGGGAGAAACGAGGTGTTTCATGCGTAAAAAAAACACACGTTAGGGCATAGGATGCAAAAACCATCCGATACTTAAGCCAGTCCACGTCCGAGAGAAAAATATGTAGAGAATATAGGCAAGGTTGTAAAAAGCGGTAATCGGGTCCGAGTCGGTCAGGCACCGATTCACGATTAATCGGTAATAAATCGGAAATAAATCGGTTTTTAAAATTTAATATAATATATATCTCTAGATATTATTTATAAATACTCGAAACATATATAAAAAGATATTTAAACATAGTTATATCTACATCATGTATATATTCTTAATAACATAATAAAAGTTTAATAATTATAAGATCATAATACATAAATATCCTTATAAAATATAAATAAAAAAAACAATTTTTTTGAATTGACATTTATTCTTGAACATTTCTGGCATACATCATTAGTTCTTTAATAACAATTAATATAAACAAAATAAGGCATAAAATCATATTTTCTTTTATTAAAATCCCAACTTTTATTTTGATTATAAGAAGAAAAAAAAAAAAAACCAATTTTGACCGATTTTTGCCACCGAGTTTGACCCGCCTTAAAGCTTTGACCGCCTCAGACCGCCTAAAACCGCCTCACAGACAAAAAACCGATTTTTCAAACCTTTACACTAAAATCGTAAAGATTTCGGACCGTCTCCACCTCGGAGACCGATTAATCGGCCGCCTCGGCCGATTTTTTAGAACACTGAATATAGGCAAAATGTTCTGCAGTAAAATGATAATTCATTAAACCTCTGCAATTTTATCAAAATTATCTTATCACTTAATTTTAATTATATTAAATAATATATATATTGAGTGGTATATCTAGTTTTTCCTGTCATTTTCTTGATTGTCCTTATTGGAATTAATGTATCCGAATTTGTTGTGTAAAAATCATGACTGCGACACCACATACTATAATAAATTAATTAATTAATTAATTAATTATGAGTTGCATTAAATCATATGTAAAGAGAAGATGAGGTGTTTTGACATGATTAAGGATTACTAAAATGTTAAATGTCGTTTCAATTTTACTAATGTCGTTTTGACTTCGAACCTGATTTTGACATATTTCTATTTGAATTTTTGCAAAATTCGAAACACGAAAACTGTAGTCCTTTGGGTTAGCTTTCTAATCCAATTTACATCCGCTAGATTGGATGTCGTGTGACAAAGTTATGCATGAATAAGTCACATTTTGAATTTAGATACCTCAATACATCAAAGTTGTGGACATTATTTATTGATTCATGTATATTGTATATTTCTCGTCCGACATCCAATTTTGGTGATTCAAGTTGAATTAGAAAACTAACTCGTTATACTACATATTCTATTTTTCGGGTTCTGCAAAATTTGAAATTAAAAATGATCAAAATCACATTTGAAGTCGAAAACGGTATTATTGCTCGAACAACATTTATCACATCCCTAAGGATTAAAGATAACCTCTAACTACCACTATCTCTAAGTACTACTGTATATAATATATATATATATATATATATATATGTATAATTAATTAACCGTCGATTTGTTGTCGGTTGGCAGTAATCCACCGTCAGATCAGTGTGCTCAATTCCTTCGTACCTTATCTTTGTAATTATTGTATATAATCATAATTATTTGTTGAAACTTACTTTTCCAAGCAAAACAACTCCATTATTTTTTTTTTAAATGAAGACACGTTTTTTATATAATTTTTTAAAATATTTTGCACCATAACTTTAGACAAACAATTATTTTATTTTATCACGTTAAAACCACTCGATTTTATTTATCAGTCGAATCCAATCTGTGTAAAATAGCAATTGATACTGTAAGTAGAAAAATAATGTGAATAAAATATTTTTGGAAGCTTTATATCCAATGGGGAGTAGTGGCGCACAAAAGTTAAAAATAATTTGGAAAAGATTAATGCGTGGCCCTTTAATATGGTCCATTAAATATTGGGTGGAAGTGGTAACCACTATTTATATATATATATATATATATATATATATATATATAAATGAATGCATCCAAATAAACATAAAACAAAGAGAAATAAAGAATACGTGATGAATTTACTCTTTACATAATGTCTATATGCATGTATCAAGATTTTAGCAAGTGATCGTCTGTGTCAATTGATCAAAACTCGAATATTCTTGCCAACAATCAGTAGATTAAGTTTGTGACACATGAGCTTTAGTGTGATTTACGGACTCACACATGAACTTTAATTTAGTGTGGTTTACTAGCCCTTTTTTCGGTGTTTATTTATTTTTATTTTATTTTTTAAAAATAATTTTCTATTCGATTCACAATTTAACAACCATATATTTATCTATCTAAAATTAGAGTACAATAAAAAAATAGGATAAGAAATTCGAACCCGAGACAAAAAGGATGAGATTTAACTTTGAAGTATAGATTCACTTCTACTATTAGCAAAGAAGAATATGTGCTATTGATACATGTTAATTAATAATTCATTAATTAATTCATGCATTAGCATATATACTTAATTAGGCAAGATTGCACTATGTATTTGGTCTACTAACCAAACCCTAAGCCGAGGAACGAGATGGAACTTTTTTAAATGAGTGGATTTTATTGGTTTTATTTTGAATCGTTAAAAAACTCCTCGTGTCATTAATATAATAATATTTGGAAAAAATAATCGTTCTATAAACCCAAAATTAAACTTGAAGAGAAAGCTAAAAAAAAAGGGGCTCTTTTATTACACGGTTTCAGTAAGTAGACGTAACTATTTTTAGACGCAGAGCAAAATGGAGCCAGGATTTTATATAAAAATATTTTTAAAAAATATTGTGTACGATAGTATTAATGGTCTCCCTTATAATTTTTTATTTATTTTAGCTTCACTAGAATTATTAATTATCATGATTATTATTTGTTAACAAATTCATTTTTTTTTTAATGAAAAACTCGAAGAGAATGAAAGACAAAAAGGCCAATCAACATTTTTTGCACACAATTCATGCGCGTGGTTCGAGGAGGTACTACTCTATCTCCAAAATCATCCCCTCTCTCTCTCTCTCTAGAAACTTTTCTAGAGAGAGAAAAGGAAAAAAAAATAATAATAAATGAGACCATCGAATCAAAATTGAAAATAAGCACCACTACGCGTAATTATTTTTCTTTCCTCTTTCGGGAAACCCTAGCTTTCTCTCACCGAGTCTGTATATCTTTCTCCTTTGATTCCTATTCCATAATTCTCCAAACACTTGTCAATTAGGTTATGGCCGGTCCGGAGAAGGCGGATCCCGAGTTAAACGCCGAGTCAACCTGGGAACTCGGTTGCCCTGACGCCGCCAGTCACGATTACTTCTTCGCGAGCGATTATCGAGAGAGCACCATACTCAGCGAGTTCGGCTGGAATATTCCGGTGGCCGATTCCAGCGGCGTATGTGGCTGCGACGGTGGTTTTGTAATTGGTTCGGATCTGATCGAACACGATTTGGCCGATTCGTCAGCTCATCGGAGCAGTACTGTGGCGGACGCTTCAATTTTGGCTTCTCCGTCTAATCAGTCGCTGTCATCGAGCTCCTCTCACGAGGATCCGCCGGAGAAATCGATAACCACCAGTGTTTCATCCGCCGCCGCCGCCAATTCGCCGTCGGACACAGCGTGAGTAGTTTGTTAGTAACTGCATGCACGTGTGGTTAAATTAAATCTAGGGTTTTTATTTTTTTCCGGCAGAAAATAACGGAAACGTTAGGTAAAACTTACCGGAGAAAAAAATGCCGTTATCCCGTCCGTACAGTACCTGCGTTAGATATTTTTGTGCACGCAAACACGAAGGTGGGATAGGGCATTTGCGATATTTCACGAGAATTCGGGGGGCTTTTAGGGTATTTTGGGTGGAATAAAACGAATTATTCATTCATGGACCAGATTCAGCCGCTATTGCGGCGGCAATAACGTGCTATAAATTCTTTCTTCTTTATTTTTCATTTTTTATTTAAAAAAATAGTCAACACTCCTACAACTCAATAAGATTAAATAATTATCTATTTCCCGCAAATATATATATAATATTCTCGTAAGGGATGACTTAGCGGTTAAAGCAAGTTGGGTCGATTGACCAAAATTCGAATTCATTTGCCAATGTTCGAAATGTCTAGTTTGTCACGCAGTTAACCTAGTGCGGTTTGGGCATTCGTTAGTTAACCATGTTTGCATGCATTATCCGATATTTCACATATATTGTAACAAAAGATTAAAGAATATAATCTCTTGAGGGAATTTGAGGGAATTGAATTATAGTTAACTAACCTTATAGTACAAATTTAAAATTCGGAGCAAATATATATTTTTCTCGTATAATTTATAAACCAGCTCGATCTGAAAATATATAATTGAAAATCGAAAATCACGACTACTACTGGCATTTATATTCTGTATATTTTCAGAGGATCACGAATGAAGGCCGAGTAACGTCTATATTGATGATTTTGCAGGACTAAGAGTAGCAAAACAACAACGGGTCAAAAACGAATCCAACAGCCGCGTTTTGCATTCGTCACCAAAAGTGAAGTTGATCTTCTTGAAGATGGCTATCGATGGCGAAAGTATGGACAAAAAGCTGTCAAAAATAGCCCATTTCCAAGGTATATATAATGATTCTTTATATATATATATATATATATATATATATATATATATATATATATATATATGAAGTAATATTGAGCATGAATTTAATTAATTGAATGACTTTAATTTGCATTATATTCAAGCAAAAATGAGCTTTCTTGAGAAATAATGGAAATATATATGGTATAAACAAATATTTATATGATATAATGATCAGGAGTTATTACCGGTGTACAAACAGCAAATGCACGGTGAAAAAGAGAATCGAAAGATCATCGGACGATCCCTCGGTAGTGATAACTACATACGAAGGACAACACTGTCACCACTCAACTGGATCATACCGTACCACTCTGCAGGATAATATTCCATTTTCAAGATTCCTATTAAGCCCTTCAAATAATCCTCAGGTGTTACATGATTCTATGCCCATCGCACAATCTCCGCCAAGTGTTCAGGGCCACCACCACACCGCCGCCGGACAAGAGCCGCCGCCACCTCTTGGACTACTCGGCGATATCGTGCGGCCACCTGGAATGCGAAATGGATAGCATATATATACATGCATGCATCCATATACATTTATCTATTTCATTATTCAGCATGAATTTTCATTATTGTATATATAGATATATATGGAGTTCTGTTTCCGTGATTATTTACAAGAAATGGGCTTTGTAAATGTTGTGTAGATTTTTTTCGATCATTGAAATAAATGGAAATTTTGAAATGAAAGAAAAATCGAATCAAAATCAACGAAATTAAAAAAAAAAGTTTGGAGTTGTATAAATAAATGCCATTATAACAACTTGAATGCAGCTACGTACTTCTTGTTTTATAATCCTCTCAGAAGTTAGTTTCCTCCTCGAGACTTCAGTTCACGCGTATTGATCTCCCTCGGCCAATCCACGAGGCCACCTCAGCAAGGTTGTTCGTTGTTATTCTCCTGTGATCAATCATCCAGTGTGCGTATACTAATTAGTTACTCGTTTGGCACGCCTCAGATTCCTTTAGCATCAAAGCCATTCATCTTGATGATCGATTCAAACACATTTTAATGCCACTATTGAGGATCGCATAATGCACTAGATCGTTTTCCTTTCTTTGTACATGACAACCCCTACTTTCGCTTCGAAATTTTAATCAAATTTTCAAACTATATGTATTATTATCTTTCTTATCCAAAATAAATTATTTTGCTTATTCAAATGTGCTCTTAAGACTGAAAATATCTTTTCATAAGCCCCAATTATTATAATGTTATTAGCTAATTACAATTAAAAAATTAGTTCTTGTGATATACAATCTCTTAGAATTTATTTTGGATTACGCATAGAAAAGATAAGTTGGTATTTTTTTCATTTTTACCATAGAAAATAATTTGAACCGATCAATTAAAAATACATTTTTTTTAAATTTAAATAAAATATTTTGATCCAAAAATGTATTTGGTGATTATTAATAAATAAATAAATAAATTTAATTAAAAAAAGAAAGTAGTTGGTGGGCCAAAAGGTAGGTAAGGCCCACAGAGTACTTAGGAAACCTATTTCTGGCCCATAATTGCACATTTGGTAAATTGGGCCCCACACGTGATCCAGAAACAAGGAACTAATTTTTTAATAAGGACACGTGTCGAAATAATTTCATTTTCCAATTAAAATTCTCCAAGTCACATTCCAAATGACATTTTATAAGTTGGAAAGCTTTCTGATACTCTTATAAATCCATTTAAATAATGACAGCCATTAACCAGCAAATAATTTTTAATTTTTATTTTTTTCTAGGTTAAATTACGGTCACCTCGGATTTATCAAAGTATGAAAAAACTCTTCAGTTTGGATAATTATAATTATCCCATCAACTATGAATTTTTTTACGCGTCCACCTTTGCGGTGTCAAATTTAATGGAATCTTCTAAATTATGTGGAATATTCTCCATTTCACCCCATTCGAGCTCCACATTTGTAAAACAAGGTGATGATAAGACATGTCTCTTGCCTTGTAAATTATAGTGCACCAGAAACTGCATTTTTATACAAAATGAGTATAAACTAAAGAACATTCTACGGGATCTAAAAGATTATGTTGAATTCGACACCATAAGGGTGAACTTGTCAGAAGATTTATAATTCAGGAAGATACTTGTAATTACTCAAACAAGAAGGGTTTTTTCGTAATTTAATCTTAACTCAGAAGTGGCAGTATTTTATCGTTTTTTTCTAAACAAATTATGTATATAGAATAATAGATAACATTTGCTACACATACTTCCCACAACTGCAGGCTGCCACCTTACACTAATGAAGTTAAAAAAAAGCCAAGAAAAGATATACTTTTTAAAGTAGGGTGTGGAAGTGCCAAACAAGTATGTGAATTTTTTTTATATATTTCTCAAAAAAGTCAAAAGAAAATGAACTTTTAAAATACTCAAATGGCACCAAATAAATTGGATCTGAAGGCTGTTGTTAGGTTGAAAACATCATTCTTCCAATTTGCAATAGTACATAATTTATTTTTATATATATATATTAAAAAAAAATAAAAAAAAATAAAAGGTTGAACCAAAATCGAATGTCGTGAACGTTTGTGTATGCTAAATGCACTACAATATTTGACTATGCTCAATTCTTGCCAAAAATCAGTTTTTATAAAATGAAAGGTGGTAACTTGTACTCCAATCAAAGCAACCAAATATGCCATAAGACAACACTAGTGATGTTCTCATGACACAAACTTTAGCTTCCTTCCTTCACAAACACTTAAAAATCTTCACTTTTTTTTACTTGAAGACACACTTAATCTATTCTTGAACCACTGTGATTAATTATGATGATAGAGACAATTAATTATATTTTAGTTAATTACAAAACCACTCAAGTAAACAACAAACTGTGGCTGAGTTAACCAATGGATGCTGTCTTGATTAGGACAAAGAGCTCTCAAATTAAGATTTGAGATGCATACTTTTGTGTTGTATGGAAACTGCCAAAACAAAATTATAAAAATTGATGCAATATTCAATAAGAGAATAAAATGAATTAAAAAAAATATTAAAAGTTTTTACCATGCTAAAATGCTTCAAATGAACAAAAAACATAATCTTTGGAGATGCAAAAATCGAAGCATATTTTCGGAACACGAAAAAAAAAAAAAAAAATCTACCAAGAAAAGAACTGTCCACGCTCGTAATCCTCGTCAGCTTCGGGTGCAGGAAGATTAAGATCGAGTAAATCAGATTGCTGCTCGGTCTTCTTCTCGACGGGGCTTCGGTTAATGTAGTTTTCGTCGTGACCCCCGATGAAATGTGACCTCTTGTGACCACCTAATGCCTGCCCATTCTTGAAAACCCTGTCGCAGAAAGGACAAACATGCCCTTTACTCTTCTTCGCCTTGTTCTTCTTCTCGGCATTGTGGGATGTTGCTAGCTTCTTAGCACTCGGTTTCTTGCTGCTTGAGGGCTCGACGAGTTTTTTGTAATTGGTAGAATCTTCTTGGCTGTTGCGGACACTTTCGTATCTCGATTCTTGAAATTCGTTGACTCTTTTGTGGCACGGCCTGTGCCCTCCGAGAGCTTGATATGACTTGAACACCTTTTTGCAGTTGAAGCATTCGTATTTGCTTTTCTTGGGAGAACCGTTTCTTGGTTCGGGATTTTCCGAACCGTACTTTCTCTTTCTCGATTGATCAGTTCTAGCTACTAAATTCGAAGCCATAACACCATTATCATCGTCATAATCGTCACCATCAGCATACTCATTCTTGATTAGTTTCGAGCTCTTCTTGAACTCACCAAAACCACCGTACCTTCGGAACCCATCAACAGATACATCCGATTCGGCCTTTGCACATTCATCCAAGAAATACCCGGAATCCGAATTCTCCGTTTTTTCAATTTCTTCACCGAAAGAAGTAGCATTCAACTTCTTGATTTGAGAAGCCTCGTTCTGGTTGTGACCGTAACTTACACTCTCCTTCCTACCTATTATCATTTCAATCGAGGAAGACTTAGTCTCGAGAACTACCGAATTGTTATCCGAAGATTCCACCACCGAGTTCACACCACCACCACCACCACCCTTGTTACAACCGGAATCCTTCGACAACATCATCAAACACATAGCCACCTCCTCTTGATCCACCCCATCAATCTCAGTCACAGACGAAGAACCATTATTATTCCCCAAATTAAACGAAGAATTATCCACAAGTTTCTTGTACCTTGCAGAACTCTTCGACAAAGACGATCTAGTCGTCCGAACTTCCTCTGCTTCTTCGGTATCCGAATGCCCATCGACCACAATTTTCCGACTCTCACTAGTCCAAGAACAATTATCATCCTTAAAAACCCCCCTCTCCTTATCCGAATGACAAGCCATGTGGCCGCAAAGAGCTTTCATCGATTGAAACCCTTTACCGCATTGCTTGCAAACTTTATCCTGAGGCAGAGGAGCCCTCGAATCGACTGCCCTCCATGTTTTCTTGGGATTCTCCCTCAGTCCGTACGCAGACGACGACGACACCCCCCCATTCCCCGATTCGCCGTTCTTCGATTCTTTCATCGTAACCTCGAATTTGTCATCAGATTCAGCTGAAATTGCAACCACATGAGACCTCATGTGCCCACCTAGTGACTTCCCACACGGGTACTTTTTGTTGCAGAACTTGCAAACAAACCTCGATTCCATCATATCTCACTTCAAAATTGAAACTCTAAAAAAAATAAAAATAAAAAACCCAAAATAAATCAGTAATCAACTAAGTGAAGTTGGAACAGTGAAAGCAAATGCAGCATCCCTTTTGATCTAACGCGCAACGAACAGAACAGAAGAACTCAACCCAGATCAGAAAGAATCAAAAAAAAAAAAAAACAACACCATTAAAGTACAGAGATGAAGCTTCGTTCGAGCTCGAAATCGGGAATGTGGGGTTTGGGCAAAATTGAACAGAGAGAGTAATATACCTTTGCGGTAAGAAACAGGATCGTCGAACCAACTCACTGAGTCAGATGTGACAGTTTTTTTTCTTTCTAATCGGTGAAGTGAAAGATCAGACCCGAAGCAAAAGGGAACAAGGGCTATTGAATTCCCAAATCCATGTAAATCTCTCTCTCTCTCTCTCTATCTCTCTCTGGGAAAGAGAAATTGGGAGAGAAAAAAAAAAAAAAAAAAAATTAAGCTGGTAATATTTATGTATGGAGATTGTGATAAAGTTTAATTGGGGAAAGAATCAAACTTTAAGAACAGATGGGTCGCTAATGTTGGCCTTGAACTAGCCACAGCAGATTTGAGAAATTTTAAATTAAACATTAAAAAAAAAAAAAAGGAAAGAAGAAAGACTGTTTCTTCTTGCCTATAATCTCTCTCTCACTCATCGCGCACACGCACAAACCCGTCTCTTTCTCTCTCTACATCTACACATATTTTTTTTCTTCTTCCTTCCTTTCTGTTTGTTTGTTGTGTGCAGTAAGGGGAGGGGAGGAGAATTCCATGCATGGAAGCAAATTATATATGAAGAAAGGGGCCAAACAATAATAATTAAAAAAACAAGAGAGAGAAACTGTTGAGTAGAGAGAGAAAGTAAGGGTGTGACGACACGTGTACTTATTAACAGAAATCCCACGGTCAGGATTTGTTTGTATTGTTTTCATCTGAGGCGAAAAACATATATCATAATAAATCATAATAAATGATTTATGAATCTTTTTCTTATTTTTTTTTATTTTTTTTTATTTAAATAAAAAAAATTAAATTTTTGTTTGTTGAGGCCTAGTTTTGTCTTTGCTTAAATGTCAAGCCTAGGAAAAAAAGGCCGAATCCTCAGCCGTTTTATATTATTTAATTCCATTCTTACCCCTTATAGTACTAGTTGGTACAAATTGGTGGCACCAGGGGTATAATTGGGATTTATATTTAATGCATTACATATATATAATTATATATATTGAAAAAATTGAATTAAAAATGTTTGAATTTGTTACAGCTTTACAATCTTTGAGTATCTTTTGTTATCAAATTTAGAGTAATAATTAAGTTTATATCACTTATATATATTTGACATATTAAGTAAGTTCACATGAGTAGTGAAATTGGGGTGTCCTTTTCTTTGTGAAATTATTGATATAGTATGGTATTAAATTTTAAATAAAAATATGCCAATTAAATCTGCAATCATTTAAATATATATATAAAGAAAAATAATATAGAGGAAAGAAATCAAAGGGATTGATATTTTTAATGCATGAATAATTATGGTTAATTAGTGGGGAAAGATTATAGTTTAATTAGGCACAAGTTGGTTAATTAATGAGGTAATTAACTTAATATCTTGTCTGCAGATCTACCATCTTAAATTTGATTCATTTAGAGGAAAAGAAAATTCCATCATGGCACTGAACCCTATACACTAAAATTATTTACACTTAGATCCAAAGATATGTGCCATTTATTTTATCATCCAATTTATTTATTTATTTAATTTATACTCCACACTTTGCAATTATGAGCTTTTCCAATTTGTTGCTTCTATTTCCTTGGATGTTTGCATTATGGTCCATTTTTCAATGTTACAATAAAATTAAGGCCATATTGTATATTACTCCTTTTCGTTCATAAATACGTGTCGTTTTTAGGGAAATATATATTATTAGACTAAAATACCCTTATTCATGCAACTTTACTGTCAATTATCTCTATCACAGGACTAAATGATCAGGGTTATTTTAGTCTTTTTAATGTGTATTTGACTATTTTCCCTAAAATCAACAAACATTTATTAGAATTTTTGTGCATAGCTGAAAAACGACGATTATTTAGGAACCGAATGAGTAATTTTCTTTATACTTGTTTTGGAAAATTAATAGATATTTATATTAAAATAGATGGGATGAAAACTAAAATTCATTTGGAGGAACTAATATTATTATTTATCTATTATATATATATATATATTCGAATTTTATTTATTTTTAAATGAAAACTTTTAATGTGAGGTAGCTTGACAAGTAAAATTACATTGCTCACACCAAACATTAAAAGAAACTTCATTGGAACTCCACTTTGTGATGAAGAAAATTTATTATTTAAAAAAATACAAAAATAATAATTAATGCTAATTAATATTTCCTTTTTAAATTGCAAAGTCAAACTATGGTGAGTGGCTATGGTTTGTGCTTGTCTCATGCACTTCACATTTTTTCTTAAACTTTTGAAGTTGTAATGAGACATATGATAAACATAATTTGTCATATAAATTTTCAATTTAAATATAATTAGTTCATTGTCAAATTGAATAAATGCCCTCAATTAATTAATTTTTCTTTTTTACAAATCAATTAATTAATTCACCAGCAACTAAAAAGCTGCCACCACAAACTAACATCATGGAAGCTTGAAAAAGCCACTTATTATAGCTTATTCATCAATCTGCTTATCCAAAATCAGCCTTCAAAAAGCAACTTGCAAATAAGCTACATTCTTCTTTCATTACATTTGGCATCCCTATCGATATTATTTACACTAATTTTATAAATAAATAAATGTTGTTATTTAATAAAATTTTATCATTTAGGGAATTGTTTTTTAATAATTCAAAATAACACAAGAAATTTTTTCTAGCACAATTCAATCTACTTTCTAAACATGCACTGACAGAGCCAGAATTTTAAGTTCGAGAGGACCGAATGCACTAAAAAAATTATAACAGGGACCATGGCCCCCCGGCTATATGCTGACTCCGCCCCCGGAAACAACTTAATTAACATCAATTCACCTAACAAAAGTCAATATTTCTACTTAATTATGAGTTAAATTATCTTTAACACTTGTGATTATATTATCAATCCCAATGATAAAATGATTCCTACACAGAGAATGCTCAGAACTCACGATCAATTTATTATTTAAATATTTAACATTATTTTAATAATCAGAAGCTGAAAGCAGCTTAAGAAGATGAACTTAATTATTATTTTTAATTGACTAAGTAAATCTATATTAGGGAAAAGTGCCAACAAGTACCAAACATCTACTAGCTGGCCAAGTATCCGAATGGAAGAGCTGTTATTTAATTTGCTTATTGCTTAATAAATAAAAGCACTTTTTTTTGTTCTGTTTGGGCCATAAGCTATTTTGGGGAAAGCATTTTACAGCTTTTTATAAGCTGCCTAACTTCAACATCACTGCTTTGATGCTCTATACAATTTGTGGTGAGGCTGATTGTTTTTCAATCAGGAACTCATCACTCAATTTAACTTTTTTTATATTTATTTATTTATTTTCTGCAAATATCAAGAATTAATAATAAGAAATTGACTTCTTCATTAGCTAATTTAATATAATCCTTTTTTTAAGTTAACCGAGAATTTTCGTTATTCCACGCATAGCCCGGGGATTGGATTTATCGTTTACGCCTATATAATTATTTCTTGGGTAAACTACGGCCACCTATTGAGGTGTGGTCAAATTACAAAAATATCTCTCTTGTCTGGGTATTTACAATCACCTCTCAACTATGAATCTTCTTACATGTCCAGTTTTATGGTGCCAAATTTAACAAAATCTTCTAGATTTCGTGGAAAGTTTACTAATTTGTACTTGTTTTGGTGCAAAAAATGTAGTTTCTGATGCACCACAACCTAATATTTACAAGTTGAGAGATACATTTTATGATCATCTTGTTTCAAAATGTGGAGCTCAAATAATGTAAAACTGGTACAAAATAGAGAATATTCCACATACTCTAAAAGATTCCACTAAATTTGACACTGTATGGATGGACGTGAAAGAAGATTAATAGTCGAGGACTTGCTGTAATTACCCAAACATGAACAGTTTTTTTGTAATTTAACCTTACCTTACGGTGGTCGTAATTTACTTTTATTAGTTGTTTCTTATAGATGAAATTAAGAAACAAAGTAGATTCCTTGAAGCTACTAAAGCATAATCGGCTTAATTTAGCTAGAATATTTCTTTATTTGTCTTGTTCATTGCAGAAATGCACCATAAACCCAATAATGCCTTCAAAATAAATAATAAAACTAAAAAAGAAAATTAAAAAAAAAATCCAATAATAAATTCCACCCCAAAAATAATTTAATTTTATTTCATAACCCAGGTCTACAAAAGAACGGTGGTCCCATAATAAAATTAAATTCCTATTTCCTAAATTGTCCCCAGAATATTTCCCTTAGGTTTTGGAACAAGACTGATTTCAGGCAATTTTCTTTAACCTTTTTCTCTTTCTATCTCTACTAACTATTCATACAAACTAATACAAACACAGAGCCAAATTTGAGAATTAACCAAAACAAGTCACTCTCATCACTCACTCTTGCCCTCTTGTCCAACTTCATCTTCCTTATTACCCCCACCGACGTTTTCGGGGTGGGGCCCGTACTCATCCACCCACCCCACATCCAAGTCCACGTCATCCAAAGACTCAACTTCATCTCCTTCATCTTGAACTACATAAAAGTACTCGTCACGGTCAACTTTCATGTCTTTTTCGTCGTCAGAATCTTGACCGAACAAGGACCTGCTCTCGCCGAACAACTCGCGCGCACTTTTATGCTCTTCCTCGTCGTCGCTATCAATCTGCAGCATGAACGACCTGTTCTGAGCCCCCCGCCTTCGCAGCATGAACACATTGAAGTAGTAACTGACAAAGTCCTTCCTTGTTCGGCTCGGGAAAACCGAACCTAGAACCTTCCAGAAATCGCCGCCTGGATTGGAGAACACCACCTCATGAAAGAGCTGCTCTTCGTCAGGTGTCCATTTCCTACTGGCCGCCTCCTCGCCCATGTCGTAGAATCCCAGCTTGACGAAAACCTCGTCTCCCATTGTTTCTTGTAGTTTCTCTCTTGCCTCGTGTACATGCTGCTGCACGCACCTCATGGACCCCACATCCATGCAGCTGCAATCGGTTCTGCCCCGCCCGGCCGCAAACGGGTCGGTGCTGCCCGATCTGTTTAACCCCGGCGGGCGAACGATACAGCTGCCCATCAGTTCTTGCTCCCTCTCATCCGAAAAGTCTTTTCGTCTAGCAAATGGGTCCCACTCTGGGACGTCAGCTTGATGGTCTGGTCCGATGGGGATTTCTTTCCTAGGAGGGGTGTTCAGTAAGTATATGTACGGGTCCTCAAACTGTAATGGCGGTGGCATTGACGGTGTGCGGAAGTCAATATCCGGAATATTCCCAGCATATTCTTCTTCCTCTTCTTCTTCTTCTTGTTTGCCGTTGCTAGCTGCCAAAGATAAGGGTGCACTTGGCGTTGACTCTTTGTCCACTATACACGCACCATCTGTAACGCAGTTTTCGAACTCGCCTGCCGGTGATAAAAAGAGAAACCTTGTGAGTCAAAGTAGACAAGGAAATAAAATGTCCAGTAAAAGCACTCGTTTTTAAATAACATAATTTACCGGGATAATGAAATCTTGGAGCAGTTGTAGAAGGCGAATCCTCTGGGGTAAACGACAGCTTCTTGTTGTTGTGATCTTCTATACGTTGCTCGAAAGAAAGCTCCGGAAGATTTTCCTCTTCGAAAGGTCGTTTCACTCCCATCTTCTGTATTGCAGGACAAAGCAAAACAATTAATATGAGTAAATATCATTTTTAAAGGCATTCAATACAAGCAGCAACGATGTGGAATGCGATATAGCAATAAATAAATACAAGTCTGCACTTATAATACGCACCTAAGTGCTTCTGTGTATTCTCTTACGTACAAGCACGACTTTGCAGGATAAGAAACGCACAAATAGTAATTGTTATTATGATTATGTGACACGTGTATACACCCAAATATTCTGGCAGCATCAGTTCACAAAGGGAAGGATAAAAATCATATATAGTCAAAGTGAAGATAAAATTTTGCGACCATCGCACATAGACCACGTAACCTAATGAGTTAATGTAAAAGCTGCCACGTTGAAGTACAAGCACGAGAAAGCAATAAATCACTTTATTAGTATTCCGTTAGCGAAACATAATAAATTAACTAACAGATAAGCCAATCAAATTCAATTAACTAGCCGATAATTCAGCCAAAATCAAAACCAGATAACAGTGTTATTCGAAAATTATTATCATTACAACCAAACATACAGAGTTGTCCTTAACAAGCCTATAAAGACTTTTAAGCTACATCAGATTCACTAAAGCTTTATTTTTACAGAGGCAAAACATTCACAGATTAGAAAATTTAATATCAATACTTTCAATTTAATTACAAAATCCTTCAATCAAGAAAACCCCCAAATTCCAAAAAAACCCTAACCCTAGATTTACAAATCAACATAGAAAATCATAAATAGCCTATTTTAAAATCAAATTCAGACATGACATAACTCAAAATTAACTCAATTTACAGATCCAGGAAAGCTAAATATAAGAATCACGACAAATAGCCAAACCCTAGATTTCAAAAACTCACCAGATAAAATTACAACTTCTGAATCAATTAACAGAGGGGGAACAACGAATATCGACAATTGAAAGAGAAAACCCAAAACAACAACAGATTTCAGCAGCGAAATCGGACAGATCGGAAAATCGAAAGCGAAAACCTAGAATTTCCTAGGGGTCAACACATTGGGTCGAATAAACAATCAATCGAAACAGAAACGAACGAATTGAACCAATAGAGTTCTGGATTCGAAGATTATTACATGAATTTCAAAGACGCTGCTGAATTCGATGATTTTGAGATTGAACGAAATCGATGAAAATTGGGGGAAATTTTTCGGTGCGGTTCGTTTGGTTTTTGTAGTCAGGAGGATCCGGATACGATGACCCGGATATGAGTCACACGCGTCGTTGTTACAGGTGTCGCCTAGCTGGATGAGAATCGTTTATTTGGGCATGTGTTTGGTGTGCTGAAATTCCACTGTGCTTTGACTTCCTAAATAAACAAATAGAATATTGAAAGAGTAAACTGCTAAAACTACCCCTGTGTAATCTTGAAATAGCAAAAACCCCCCTGTGATAAATAAACTAGCAAAAACCTCCCCTGTGAAATTATTTAAATAGCAAAAACCCCCCTATGGAACTATTTGAGGGTTGACTTGATATAAAAAGACACAAATACCCCTGGAGTCTTGCAATTAATAAATTCTTATATTTTATAAATATTTTAATTATTTTATTTAAAAAATAATCAATTTAGTTGTTTACTATTTTTTTTAATTTCTAAACAAACAAATTAAAAAGAATAAATATACATATAATATGTATATATATAAATACATTTTGAGGGACAATTTTGTCATTTCAAGTCTAAAAAATCAGCTAGGGGGGATTCTGCCTTTGACTAAATTTCACAGGGGGGTTTTTGCTAGTTTATTTATCACAGGGGGGTTTTCGCTATTTCGAGATAACACAGGGGTAGTATTTGCAATTTACTCAATATTGAAAAGGAGAATATTTTTTGAAATAAAATATTATTTTTTTGTTCCCCAAACAACCCTTTAAGCTTAATGAAGTATATTTCTCTAATGTTTTATCTTTTTATAATTAGTTTATTTCTTTCTTAAATAGGCCATATACCAAAACATTTATATCTTATTTTGAATTTTTTTATTAATATTTTTCAGGTCGAATTTGTCGTACACAATTGATGAAATAGGAGAATGTCGTCGTCTAGTGATTTAAATTTTGAAACTTTTTATTAATATTTTTCAGGTCAAATTTGTCACGATAACTTATCCAATCTCATATTGTACGAATTATTGCAAGCGAATTCATCTGGTGCATTGTGCACGTATATGATTGCGCGTTTCTTTGACAAAACGAGTTCGATATTTAATTTTTCTTTTTAGTTAGTAATTTTCTTACTTCAATAAAATTAAAATCACATATCTTTTATATATAGTTGGAATTTTGTATTTTTTTCTCCATTTTGAATTTTGATTATGCTTTACCGTTTTCAAATTAAATGTAGAGGTCATAATGGTTGTATTTTTTTCAAATTTATTTCTTTAATGATCATATTTTGCAATGTTTTTAAAATCGAACCGACGCCACTCGAACGAGCAATTGGGTTATGATTGGACCGTTTCAACCCAATTCAACCATGTTTTGACTTTTCTTTAGCTATTTTAGTTATTCTAATGCTAGTAAATTACAAAATTTTCCTGAACTTAACCTAAATTACAAAAAATAATCTCACCTATCAGTAATTACCAAATTCGTCAGATATATGTTTTTGTCTTAAATCGAACCCCTTATGGTGTGATCTTCACCAAATCCTTTTAATTATAGAGAATATTCCCCAACAATGTCAATTCTACCCCTGCGGGCGTGGAACATATCGAAGGTAGCCATGCACATATGTTTACAAAATTGCTTAGGCATGCTATGATGATTCGTTAGCAATCCCTAAGGTTATTGTAGAAGGTACACCAATGTCACATAGATTTAAGAAACTGTTTTTTAGGGTAAAATCGGTATTTTTGGGGAATATTCCGTGGAGTCAAAAAGATTCTTCAGTGTAAGATAGACACAGCTTCAGAGGATCTTGATAATTACGGATAGGTTGGGATGTTTTCGTAATTGAGCCTAAGTTAAGGGGTTTTTTCGTAATTTACTCTTAATAATATAAAAAATACTATTTCTCTGTAGTCTGTACTGCAACTGGAATTGAGTCACTTGCAACGGCATGAATAGCTCGGTCGGTCGCGGTGGTTCTCTCCGGCGTCTTACTCACATCCATATTCTCTCTCCACGCACGCTCTCTCTCTCACCGCCAACTAAATCTCACAGCCTCACCCCCTCCCTCGATTTCCACGTGATTTATATTTGGAAATGGATGCCCGCCGTTAAATGATCCTCGTTGATCAATTCTCGAAGAAGCAGCTCCATTCACCTACGCCGTCGGATCAGAAAGCTGCGGAAATTTCCGATCTGGAATCGAATCCGTTGAGCGTGAAAATTAAAGTAAGTGATTTTCTGAAACTTTGTCAGTGAAAATCCGATTTTTTTATTTTTATAATTTCTAAATGATTTGTTGATTGTGCAAGTGTGTATCTGCTTGCTGATCTTATATATGTTTTGCTGTGATCTGAAATTAATTTCATGAATTAATTGGGGAATTTTGTGCTACGATGTGTGCATATAGTATTCACGATCCAGATCTGATGTATTTTTGCCCATGTTCTGAATGAATTATTGGATTTATCAGTTATCTGCTGCTGCCTTAAATTAATGTCGGTTTAGGTTACGATCAATTTAGTAAGCTGCACATCAATTTAGTTAAGGTGCACGTTGTTCTTCGGGCAGCGAACTTTTAAACAGAAAAAATCGAGAGCAACTTTTTTTATCATAATGACGAGCAATCGGTTTTAGTCGAAAGACTCGACACCAAATAAATATTTGTTACGATTGGAGATGGCCTAGGCGGCACTTCGATCAACCTGCTTTAGCAAAGAAAAAACACAGAGAATGCATATATATCTGTATAAATATTATTGTGTGAATTGTATACACTCACTGTGTGTGTTTCGATGTTTGTTTACTGAATCAATTTTTATAATTCTTGTAACTTTATTATTTTTTCCCTTTTTAAATAAATATAAATTAAGTAGCCAAGAAATTCTTGAACCACTTGACAGAATCCTTTGCGTATCTCTTGAGCTTGTCATTGTAGTCGACATAGTAAAGTCCAAATCGTGAACTGTATCCAGCTCCCCATTCCCAGTTATCCATTAAAGACCATGCAAAATAGCCTCTCACGTTGCAACCATCTTCTCTGTGAAAAAAGAAATGAAAAAACGAATCATCGAGTTAAAAAAAATAAGCATAAAATAGAAGTTAATTTTTGTAGAGTATCGGAAAGTTGAAATGAAAACTATGCTAAAACTAATTACTTGATAGCAGCTAAGAGGTTAGTCAGATAGTCGTTGTGATATTTAATCCGCTTCTCGTCTTTTAGAGCATCTTTAATTGACGTAAACGGGCTGTTTCCATCGTCCATTCCTGTTCGTAAATAAAAAAAAGACGATGTTTATGGTAATGAATATGAATCAGATGATGATAAAGTTTCGGAGAATGTTTTAATTTGATCTTTTTACCGTTTTCAGTGATAAGTATGAGAGGGTTCCCGTACTTCTGCTTAATGTAGTTCATCAAACTTCGTATCCCATGTGGCACAATGTATAACCACACAGAACTTGCCTGCAAATTTTTAAATGTAATAATTTTATTTATCAGCCTAAATTTTCTAATATTAGTGAGGGACATTGTGTAAGAGTATAGTAATTAATAAACATGTGCTTCTGCCTGCATGCATATATACCTTGTCAAATATAGGCTTTCCGATTACAATTGCTGCAAGATAAACGAAACACCGATAAGTAACGAGACGATTTAATTGCTACTAATTTATATAAAAAAAATGAGATGAAAGAAAAAATATTTTCAGACATGAGAATTTGGTTAGGACACATACGAAGGGTTAAGGCACCAGAGTCTGAAACTGTGTCGTTGAACAGAACACCCATTATGTTAGTGCTGTTTTCTCTTGCATACCAAGTTGTGTAGTGATTTATTCCTATGAAATCGAAGGCACCCTTTAGCTGAGACGACTGTGCCTGAGAAAATCTTGGCAATCGGTTTTCGACTCTTGTTCTCATTGACTTTGGATAGTCACCGAGAATTAAGGGTTCTAGAAACCTGGTTCATCAAGTAAGAAAGAATAGATCTAAATATGTAAAATCACTAGTTCACAATTATTGTTCTTTTAAAAAAAAAAAAAGAAAAAAAAAACTTACCAACCCAAGTGAAAATCGATTGCTCTTTGTGTTGCTTGCATATCAGCGTACGAATTTGATGCGGGTTCGTACCAGAAAGAATCCAAGGATATCCCGATCGCTCCATGTTGTTTTCGCTGCAATAAAACAAGAATTACCAATAGTAAATAGTTGCTTTAGTTTTAGTTATTATATATTATTATGATTTAATTATGCACTTGATTAATTACCTGATATTTTTTCTTGTAAATATCAACAACAGTTGCATGCGAAAGAAGCACATTGTGCGCAACTATATAAGGCTCGGTAGCCGAATTTCCGGCCCCACAAAAAGCATGGAGAAGGATAGAGCATCGACCCGGAGCTTGAAGGCCGACATCATAGCCTTGTACAGCAAAAATATGCGGCTCGTTGAAAGTTATCCAATTCTTCACCCTATCACCGAATTCCTTAAAGCAGGTTTCAGCGTATGCTGCATAGTCTTTTCTGTTACAATAAATGAAAACAATTTTTAAATTTTCTTTTTTCTTGAAATGGAAATGAAAAAATATATTCACGTGTGAAAAGACGATTTAGTTACATGCTCTGAGGGCTAAGCCATCCTGTATATCTGTCGTGGAGACTTTGAGGGAGGTCCCAATGGTAGAGTGTTACGTATGGTTCGATTCCTACACACACACACACATGTAAATTCGGATGTATTTATCGTCTAAAACTAGATTAGTACTAATTACGAAGTAAATGTGTTGTTAATTATTACCGTTGGATAGTAAAGCATCGATGAGATTGTTGTAATGTTTGATTCCAGCTTGATTTATTTCACCTGTTCCATCTAATGATGACAAAAAATTGCAATATTGAGAAAGTTGTAAGAGATATTATTTATTTTTTAATTTAGTTTTCGAGTGGTTCGGAGAAACTAATTACTGGGGAAAATCCTGGACCAAGCAATTGAGAATCTGTAAGCATCCATTCCCATATCTTTCATGAGCTGTATATCTTCCTGCATCAAAACAAATATATATATATATATATATATATATATATATATATATATATATACATATAAGCATATAGCAATTCACTTTCTAAAAATTATATATATATATATAATTTTCTTCGAACATCACAAGAAACACTACTTACATTGTAACGGTGGTACTGATCATTCGCTACATCGGCATTGCTAAAATCGACAACTTTTCCTGGGACAAAATCGAAAGCCAAACAATTTTGTAATAAGGTATTTGAAATCAAGATTCTTTTTATTTATTTATTTATTTATTCTTACCAAAAGAATGAGCAAATGTGTCCCAGATTGTTTGACCTCTTCCATCTTCCTTAACAGCTCCTTCATACTGAAAAATATAATAAAAAAAAAATCAAATTTATTACCAATATAGTTAATTACTAAACCAGCCACTCTAATAAACCAGACAAGTTTTATATGATAGAAATTTAATTTCTATTTTCGGGTTTTAGATTATTTATAAATATATGTCTGTAAAATTGTTACATTAAAATATAGAATTACTAGTATTGATATACACATGATTTGCATAAAAAGATTAATAAAGAAGATATTTAATTTGTCAACAAAAATGTTGTTGGAACTAACTAATCATACAATAAGTATGAACTATGAACGATCATTCTTTTGAGATATTCGAGTTTATTTTTAGTTTCGACTTATTCGAAAACTTAATTTCAAATTGACATGTGAACACAAATTATTGTAAAGATAGGAATAGGAATTTAATGTTATATCTGAATTTATATAAGATTTGAAGTACATAGAAATAAATTCTTAGAATTTAATGACAATTAATTTCGAATTATTAAAACTTTAAATTTGAGCTATTCTTTAATAATGACAGTGGATAATTAATACAAATCTATAAATTTACTATTTCAATTGACCAATCAAATCAAACTACAAGAAAAGAATCAAAAACTTATGTTTGATGATTATCAAAAGAAGAAAAATAGATAATGAAAAAAAATAGAAAAGAAAAGAAACGGAAAGAATTATTAAATAATGCAGCAGAACTTTGTGGATATATACCTCAAGTGTGAATGCAAATTGAAAAAAAAATGTAACAAAAATATTAATTATCAGAAAAATTTAAATTAAAATAATTAAAAAATAAAAAACAAACCTGATAAGCAGAAGAAGCAGTGCCAAAGACAAAACCTTTTGGAAAACTTGCTCTGCTAATATTCTGAGAGCAACAAATGGGAATTATTACAATAAATGCAAATATCAAAGATTTGATGCTTTTTCTCAGCAACATCATTTTTATTTGCTCTTCTAATTTTTATTTTAATTTTTTTAAATTATTTTTTGAGTTGAAAGAAATGAGGGAAGCAAAGGAAGGAACTTTGTTTCAAGGCATTCTTTTGTGTATATAGGATATATGTATATACATATATAGGTGTATAAGTAATTAATACTCCTATATATATATGGTTGTGTGTGAAATGGATGATGATTGTATGTAGACGACAATGAAAAGTGTAACAATATTTTATGTCTCTAAAGTTTGTAGCTTTTGAGTGTGGCAAATTAAATTGGTGGGCACAGTGTGTGTGTGTGTGTGTGTGTGTGAGAGAGAGAGAGAGAGAGAGAGATGGTGGTGGTGGTGGTGGTGGAGTGTGTGTGTGTGAGAGAGAGAGGAGTTAATCTACAGAAATATTGTAAATTTGTAATAAATAAATGTATATAACTATGCAAGCATTATATATAAATGTGCAGTGTGTAATTAATTAATTAATATTGTTTGCTAGAAAAAAAAAAAAAAAGATTAATTAATATTGAGAATTGTTGTGGAATGAATTTTCTCTGCCAAGTTTCGTTCTTCTTCACGTGTGCTTTCTCACTTACCAAAAAAAATCATTTATAATTAATTTATCATATTTTTCACTCTTGAAAATAATAATCAATGTGGACCTCTCTCATCAAAAGGTTTCAATTTTTCGGACTATACGTCGCCGTTTGTGTCTATTTTTGAGCGCAATTTGCTTTTCAGTAGAATTAACTAATGTGAAGATGTCATTTTCCGCAACTAAATAAATTTGAATTTGATTGCACGCAAAATAAACATTGCAACCATACTTCAGTTACAATAATTAAAAAAAAAAAATGATTTTTTTTTTCTTTTGCATAGATTAAAATTCAACTTACACGATTCCTCTTCAAATTATTTTGTGCTTGGGATATGTAAGTTGATCATAATTGTTTTTACACCATTTTAATTTTAACTAGTTAATATTGTATTGATCGTCTTAGTATTGGGAAATTTACAGTTTTCAGTCCTCAAATTTTCAATAATTTCACATTTGGTCCTTTATGTTTAGAAAAAATATATTTGATGCCTCATGTTTTAATAATTGGACACTTTTGGTCATTTCCATGAATTTACCGTAGTGATGAGAACACATTTGATTCCATTAGTTTTAATGAAAAATTGACAAAAGGACTAAAAGTGTTGAATTTTTGAAACATGAAGAACCAAATGTGTTATTTGCGAACATGGAGGACCAAATGTGAAATTAGAACAAACTTGATGGACAAAATCTGTATTTTTCCCTCTTAATATTTGTCTGAATTGTTGATAGTTGATACGGCCCAACTGTCCAAAAGGCCCAAATAATATCAATTCTATAACGAAAGTCAAAAAGCAGTCCAGGTCATTCCCACCTTATCCACTAACGCTCCATAAAGCCTTCTACTAGCCTCACGTAGGATATCCACAAGCTGCAATTGTAACTACATTCGACTCAAGTACAAAGAAGTGCGTAAAGCCCACTTACGGCATAAGCAGAAGCGACCACACCAACATGCTCTTCCCATTCAACTGACCCATGTCACAGCAAACAAGACAACTCGTTGTGATCTGACCACAGATAGAATCGAGATCCACCACATCACTCCTACGATTTGTATAAATACAAAGAAAAACAACTACCTCTCGTATTCTATATACATACTTATTTTCACTATATCGTTTTCTTCACGATTCCAACTGATTGAACCATCAGAGTTCTAACGTCGGAAAACCCTTTTCGGACACTTTTGTTTGCATATTTCTCGGAACACGTGGCCTTCCTCTCGTTTGGGCTTTCTCCACTCTAGACTCATTCCATCCCTATTTCATTCGACTATTATTTCGTGATTGAGTCATTTAGACCACATCAATCGTTTTTTAACGAACATCACAGATTCGAATTAACGCTTCTTTTGTTGATGCTATATGATCTATTTAATTAGGCCTTATTGTGATAGCGACCTCCCACCAATTATTAGTTTAGTTTCAAAATCAATTGTCTTTATAGTGAACCATGTGAACGAGGTAAATTTGTCTTGCCCAATATTGGCAATTTATAATGTACACTAATAATTAATCTTGGCCAGTTTAATTTCCTTTATTTTTAGGAATTGTACTATATAGCTTGATTATTTGTCTTCCCTATATTTATATTATTAAAAGGATTTTGGTTTTCTTTTTATTTTTTAAAGAAACACAAAAAGGTTGAGTTTTTCTTTTAATTAATTGGTGTTGTTATCTTCTTCTTAATAATTTGGGTAAATTACGGGACCCCTGATGTATAACCAAATAACCTACAAACCCTTGTGGTATTGGTAATTACAAATATCCCTAAAACTAACAACCCATTATAAATCCAAACGAAACGAATGAATTGTCTAAATTACCCTTTTATCGAACAAACAAAATTTTGTGTAAATTACGGATACCCACCTCAAGTAAGTTAAAATATTACATTTACCCCTCTGTGGGTATACTACATTAACACTCGTGGGGGTTGATCTGGAAATTCATATCGAATATTCCATGAAATATTCGAGATTATGTTAGTCATAATTCCATAAGGGTGTAACTGTTAGACGTAGCAATAGTTGAGGGGATATTTATAATTACTGATACCACATGGGTGTGTAAGTTATTTGTTCATACCTTAGGGGTTCCCGTAACTAACCCTAATAATTTTTATAACTATTTATGCGGTTTTTTTACTCATAATCTGTTTTTAGGTGTTTGCAAAATCAACTTTTGCTTTTGCTTCTCTTAAAATAATCTGCTTTAAGCTATTTTTTTAAAAGCACCCATAACCCTGCTTTTTCAATTTTAGTTCATTTTCCGAAATATTTGCAAACACCCCCAACTTTTAGAAATAAGCACTTAAAACTAACTTAAATCACAATCACTAACTTCTGCTTTTAAATAATCATTTGCAAACACCATCGCACAAAATAATGCCAAATAGGATCTCTTATTATTAATATTAATTATTTAATTTTTAATAATATAGATTAAGAAGCCAAGAAATTCTTAAACCACGTGGCAGAATTCTTAGCATATCTCTTAAGCTTATCATTGTAGTCAACATAGTAAAGACCAAATCTTGAAGTGAATCCAGCTCCCCATTCCCAGTCATCTAGTAAACTCCATGCAAAATACCCTCCCACATTGCATCCATCTTCTCTATATACATTAATAAAAATAAAAAATTAAAAAATCGAAAAATCGAAAAATTGAATTGATTCCAGAAAAAAAAAATCGAGTAAATATCGAAAAAAAATAAGGAAAACGCAGCTAAAAGTAATTACTTGATAGCAGCCAAGAGGTTCGTCAGGTAGTCGTTGTAATACTTAATCCGTTTCTTGTCGTTTAGAGCATCGTTAATTGATGTTGACGGGCTGTTTCCATCGTCCATTCCTGTTTACAAAAAATACAAAATAAATAAATAAAAAATGTTTGTGTTAACGAATATGAATTAGTTGATGTAAATTACGGAGAGTGGTTAATTCGGTTACTAAATATACCGTTTTCGGTGATTAGTACAAGAGGGTTCCCATACTTGTGCCTAATGTAGTTCATCAGACTTCTTATCCCATGTGGCACAATGTATAACCAAGTCGAATGTGCCTGCGCGCAATTTTCGAAATGTTACAATTTCATTTATCAGGCATTTTTGCACGTGCTTTGTTCTAAGTACACATACCGTTTCGTGTACAGGCTTTCCGACTACATTTGCTGCAAACGAATAACAAAACCGAGAAGATTAGATACGTAACAAGACACGTTACGAAATCAAGCAATTAATAATTATGACATATATAATTAATTTAATAATTTGTTTAACAACATACAAAGGGCTAAAACACCCGAGTCGTCGAGCAGAACTTCTGTTGTTTTATTGGTGCCGTTTCGATCTTCTGCGTACCACGTCGTGTAGTGATTTATTCCTATGAAATCGAAGGCTCCCTTTAGCTTAGACGACTGAGTTTGAGAGAATCTTGGCAAACGATTCTCAACTCGGTTTCTTATCGACTTTGGATAATCCCCAAATATTAATGGTTCAAGAAACCTATAATATAAAAAACCCAAGATTTATTTTTTAATACAATTTCCATTATAATTATTATTATTTTATATGAAATCAAGATCTTACCAACCCAAGAAAAAATCTAATGCTCTTTGTGCAGCTTCAATATCAGCCGACGAATTTGTTGCCGGTTCGAACCAAAACGAATCTAACGTTATCCCGATCGACCCACCTTGTTTCGGCTTAAATAATAATAACAAGATCAAACGAGTAATTAATTATGATTTAATTATTATGTACTAATTAATTAACTAATTACCTGATATTTTTTCTTGTAAATATCGACAACTTTTCCATGCGAAAGAAGCACATTGTGAGCGACTACATAAGGCTCGGTCGAAGAATTTCCAGCCCCACAAACCGTATATTTAAAGATAGAGCATCGGCCCGGAGCTTGAATGCCAAGAGCGTAGCCTTGCACCGTAAAAGTAAACGGCTCGTTGAAAGTTATCCAATTCTTCACCCTATCACCAAATTCCTTAAAGCATGTTTCTGCATATGCTGCATAGTCTTTTCTGTTGCAATAAACCCCAAAAAAATAAATAAAAATTATTTTTTTTCCACTAAAAAAATATATATACAATTAATTAACGACGATTAATTTAGTTAATTAATTTACATGCTCCGAGTGCTAAGCCATCCCGTGTATCTGTCGTGGAGACTCTGGGGGAGGTCCCAATGGTAGAGTGTTACGTATGGTTCGATTCCTACGCACGTAATTAAATTTACTACATAGATTAGTGTCGAATAAACGGAGATTAATTAGTAGTAAGTATCGTTGAATTATTACCATTGGCTAGCAAAGCGTTGATTAGATCGTTGTAATGATCGATTCCGGCTCGATTGACTTCACCTGATCCATCTGATGATAGAAAAATTTTATTTTTAGAAACTTCCAATATATTTATTTATTTATTTTTGAAATATTATGTAGATGATTAATTAATTAATTACTTGGATAAATCCTGGACCAAGAAATTGAGAATCTGTAAGCATCCATTCCCATATCTTTCATGAGCTGTATATCTTCCTGCATCCAAAAAAAAGAAGAAAAAAAAATTAATAATGAAATAATATTGTGATTTATATTAATTTCTAAAAAAAATCGGAAATTAAATATGGTTTGTGACATACATTATAGAGGTGGTACTGATCATTTGCTACATCGGCGTTGCTAAAATCGAGTACTTTTCCTACGAAAAAAAATCGAGAAACAAACCAATAATATGTAACGAAATAAAAAAACTACGAAAACAAAGTCGAAAAGTCGTTATATAGTCGGGAAAATAAAATTAATTACCATAAGAATGAACATATGTATCCCAGATTGATTGACCCCTTCCATCCTCCTTAACAGCTCCTTCATACTGAAAAATATAATAAAAAAATCAAATATTAAAATTTGATTTATCAATAAAATATTTATTATATATATATAAAAAAAAAAAGCAAATTAATTAATTAAATACCTGATAAGCAGAAGAAGCAGTGCCAAATACAAAGCCTTTTGGAAAGCTTCCTCTGCTAATGCTGTGCCCATAACATGTGTGAATTATTCCAATTGCCACAATAATAATAATATATGCACTTATCATTTCTTTTTTGCTCAACATTATTTTTCTTCCTTTTCTTTTATTTCTTCACTATATATATATATATATATATATATATATATATATATATTGATTATTACACAAGAAAAAAGTGTAACATTATCAATATCTAGGTGGTGTTTGCACCCCAGACATTAAATAAAAGACGATTTTGCCCCCCCGAAAAAAATCAAATTTGGAAAAAGGAAACGCACACTCGAATTACATATTTTGGCGATAAAATGCACCCCGTAACTATTTTCTACGAGATATAGACAGAGAATTTATATCAGTATATTGTGAAATTTAGGGGAAAACTTTGAAGGGCAAATTCGTCAAAAAAAATAAAAAAAATAGGTACAATATAGTAGAAGTTTTGAAGTATAGAAATTACTAAAAATAGCAGTGCCATAAATTTAGCCAAGACAAGACAAGAGGGTGACCAGGCTGCCTCTTTATTTATCAGATTATTACAACTTATGTCAAAGGTTTCACACTATATATATCTAATAAATTAGTCATTTTTGCTATATAAGATGGAATATCCTTCAATAATTGTTCGAAATTTAGAAACCGCCTACGCCGAAACTCTAACTCTATGAGGCTCTCGATCGAGACGTCTAAACCGATTACGCGTTCGAATGTATAATTGTCGTTATTTCTAGACCATAACATTTTACAGCTCTCAAGCCTATTTTTGTGGATTTCGTCTTGAAATGTATTATATTATGGTTGTTACTACTTAGTACTTGATATATAAGATTGGTTAATTAAATAGTAAGTTGAGCATTATTTTAACTATTTTGCTATATCTTTGGTTACTAATATCTCGAAATGTATTCTATTATGCATGGTTCAATGGATTTTTTATTTATTTATTTTTTATTTTATTATTATGGATTTGAAATCACCCTCTCAAATCCGCTTATACAAATGTAGACGAAGAATTGTCAAACAACTATTTCCCACTTGTGCAATTTATCAAATTCAATCAAACAATTCAGTTCAAACGTTGATCAATCAAACGAGCTATAACTATGCTAAAAAAAAACCCTAAATTGGGAGGTGAATGCATGAAATAAGAAGACAAAACGGTTACGTAGTTCAGTCTTAAAGAAATCACGTGCATCCACGGGAGAGAGAAACTCTTTATTAATGGTAACACCACTGGTTTACGAAGACTACAAAAAATCACAAGATTACAAGATTAAATATAAATCACATATTTTCAGGAAAAAAATAAAAAAATAAAAATTGGTTTGTTGATTTTAAAATTGAATGTATCCAAATTGATAATTTGAGCCCGAAGACAATTTTGGAAATCGGATCTTAATCGGACCGACCCAGAGTAAACATGGCCCTACCCGTTATTAGGCCCATACTAAAAAAGCGGGTTTGGATCCAGATCCGAATAACCCCTCCGATTCCCAACAGTTTGAACTAAAGTCGCTATTATTCTCCAGAGGAGAAAAATTCCGCAGAAGAGAAAAATATCCGTCGCCCTCTCTCTTTCCTTCTCCTCACTCGGCGCGTGAGTCGTAAGCAGCCCCTGTTTTGCTGCGATTCCAGGTAACGAAAACGGTCTCCTGCTTTTTTGTTGGTTGTAATTTAGGTACGGTATCTAGTTTTCTTTTATGGTTTATGCCCACAAGGTGTTTGGTGAAATGCTTGAATGTAGGGATCTTATTATTATAATTGAGGAATTGAGAGAAAATGTTTTTTTTTTTGTTGTTCAAACGTTGTTGTTTATGTCTTGAGATGCGAACTGTATCTTTGAATTTGCAAGTAGATGGAGTTTCAGATTGTAGTGTAGCTGGGGTTTGAATCAGAGGGAAGAAATTTTACTAATTATTAATTAATCCATCTGAATTTCTCTTAATTCTTTATGTTGAAAAAAAGGTTACTTTATTGAAAACCCTTGTGCATTAAGATAACGGATACTAATGTCAGAGTTGTGATCATAAACGCTTGTTCGCCGAATGTTTTACATCAATAATCACATTGTTTGTGCATTTACCTTCGTCGTACGTTTTACGGAACTATTGATGATTAATTATTTCTTGGCTTGCTCTGCATCATCTTATGAAAAATTAGCAAGTAATCATTCCTACACCGTTCTATTGGTTCTGATTTATCTTGTACTAAACGAATTTCGACTGTTTCGCCTCCTAAAGTTCACAACTTTTTCGATGCTATAACTGTCGATAAGAAATAACGAATGAACCGTACAAAAAAAATTTGTGTCTTGGCAGATGGCTTTGGTTGTTATATGCGGTCAACCTTGCAGCGGCAAGTCAACAGCTGCAGCCTGCCTAGCCGAAGCCCTTCAAGAAACAGAATCCAACCCATCGGTACGGATCATCAACGAATCTTCATTCCACCTTAACCGCAACCAAAGCTATGCCGATATGCCATCCGAAAAGAATCTAAGGGGAGTACTTCGATCCGAAGTTGACAGATCTTTATCCAGAGACAACATCATCATAGTAGATTCCTTAAACAGCATAAAGGGATATAGATACGAGCTATGGTGTTTAGCTCGTGCAGCAGGAACAAGATACTGTGTGCTCCACTGCGATGTAGAAGAACCCCACTGTCGGAAATGGAATCAAGAACGGAGAGAGAAATCGGAGCCCGCTTATGAAGACAGAATCTTCGAGGATCTTGTAAGAAGGTTCGAGAGGCCGGACAGTAAAAACCGTTGGGATTCACCTTTGTTCGAACTGTCCCCTTCGAAAGATGGGATCGAAAAAACATCCGCTGCTGTAATAGACGCTGTTAGTTATTTGACGAAGAAAGTGGACTCGAGAACTAAAGACGTGAAAGTTCTGCAGCCTACTATTGCCACGCAGAATGCTCGTTTCTCGGAGGCAAATTCTTTGTACGAGATGGATAGGGCGACCTTGGAGGTGATGAATATGATTGTGGAAGCACAGTCCCGTGCTATGGGGGGTCCACTTAACGGGGTGTCTATCGGGCTGGGCTTGCCGAGTGTTGATATATCGAGGCCAGTCGGATTGCCTGAGCTGCGTCGGCTTAGGAGGACGTTTATTAAGCTGACGGGGCAATCGAGCTTGAGTGGGCCCGCCCCAGCAGCGGATGCCGATAGTGCGAAGAGGATGTTTGTGGATTATTTGAATAGGGAATTGAGGAATGGTTAGTAGTGAGATTATCAAGTAACAAGGCATGATCATTGTTGTGTAACTTTTGGGGATTTTTTTTTTCTTTGTTGTATTGTGGTTTTTTAAACTCAACTTACTATTTGATGCTTGAATTTTACAAGTCTCTCTCTCTTTTTTTTATATATATATATATATATATATATATATATATATATATATATATATATATATATATATATATATATATATATATATATATATATATATACATATATATATATATATATATATATATATATATATATATATATATATATATATATATATAAATTGTTTTATGAAGAAATAAAAGTTGATAACATAAAACACTAATTTGGTGATTGGAGGAATTGTTCTTTAAGACGTTACATTTGGTCTTTGAGACGTTACATCAGGTGAAATACACCGATTAATTATAAACCATTGATGTGGAGAAATAATTTTTCACTAAGGACATATACACATGGATGTGTGTATGATTGTGTGTAGATCAACGGTTAATAATCATCCGAAGTATTTCACCGGTGTAGCATCAACCAAACCGAGATGTTCATCATTACCAACCCTTAGAGGAAGATGTCATTGCATACGTCATGGCAAAAATTTAATAAAAGTCCATAGCAATAATAATTAATATATTACTATGTAAATAATAAATATACTGTTATAAGTCTTAGGCTTCAAAAAAAATGCACCGATTGGATTAGTGTTCAAATGGTCGTTTAATTAAGCTCTACTTTAGCCTAATTGTTAATTAATACACAATTTGCAGGCAGTACATTTAACAAGATTTACAGGTCAATAATACTATCCAATAAATAAATAAAAAGTGCTTAGAAATTGATCTCATATTTTAAGAATTTTTTATTTTTCTTTGTTGATTAATATCGTCATCTTTGAATAATAAAAGACTTTTTAGAGGAATATCTCATAGCTATTTCAACCTATCATTTTCGATTACGAAAAATAATTAGACATTACATAACAGTAGATATATTTTATAGATAGTTATGAATTAAAAAAAAAAGCCTTTTGCAATTCGTTTTTTTATGAAAAGAAAAGATGAAGGGGCAGTATAGTCATGTACTAATTATTGATTACTAATTACTAATTATTAATTCTCAACTCAATAGAGGTGGTTTTTGTGTGACATACTATTTAGATTTAAATCCCAAAAAAAGTAACAGACAAACCTAGCTTTAAGCTAAAGTAAACATTCTATTTTATGTTAATAACTAGTACAGTACCCGTGCGTTGCACGGGATTACATATTCCAATTGAGTCATACAAAAACAAAAACACATGAGTATGATAATAAGGAATAAAATACAAATTGTCATCATATAATGCATATTTGCTACTTCTAACACTGCAAAATCTTTTTCTTTTGTTTAATTTTGTTTTTGTTATCGCATATAATTTCGATAATTTTGGCGTAGGGACTTGTAGAATTCAGAGACTTATTTCTTGGAAGTGAACATATTTTATCCAACATGGAAACTGAATATAAAAATTATTGAAATAATCTAAAGAAACCCGAAAAAAATATGTTACATATATGGAAACATGGAAACGTGATCAACTTACAGTATATAATATGTTACATATATCTAAAGAAACCCAAAAAAATAAGCCTAAGAATTCATCACACCCTCTGTAAAAGAACAAAACTCGGATTATGCAAATGAAGATTTATAAAAAAAAAAAAGGAAAAAACCAAATAATAAAACGGTAGACATTTTTAACTTTGGTAAGAACGTTCTTACTTATTTGGAGTTAGACGGTCCATCAATTTACGAAGTACTTAGCACATCAACACATCTTTTAAATGACTTGCAAAAAAAACTACTCGAAGAACGACTTCTTTTGGAGTTTTGAACGAAATAAAGGAGGAAACAAAATGAACTTGGGTTTGAGCGACTGCCATCGATGCATAGTTTGATATAGAATTAGATGTAGGAAATGAAGCAATACTGTTCCTTTTCTGGGTAGACTACGACAAATGTTCGGGTTAAAGAAATCATGCACATCTCAGAACTTATAATATACAATAACCATGATAAGTTTAAGATAATAAAACAAAAAAGATAATCAAGAGTATAAAAGAAGAGATGGAAGTTATGACATAATCGATCACATTATTAATTTTACAACTTCCCTTGGTTCTGGACGTACATGATCTTCTATTCCAGCCGTGGGTTCTTATAGCGATCACATTCTTCATTGTACAACCATTCAATTATATATATCTTTCCTTGAAAACTTTTGCATATCTCTTCTCACCATCTGAAAGGTTTGACACTCACGTAAATAAACGCAAAAAATAAGCAGTTAATATTATGCACTTTTACAGTTAAATAGAATCGTAAGCTACAAACCTTATGCTCGAAATTGTTTATCCAGGAAGTGGATGGGAGAGAAGAAAAAACGTAGAATATATTGCCAATGGATGCAACGGTTTCTTTCCTCTAAAACAATTGTGATGTTATAGAAAATCAAAGAGGCCGCGTTTGTAGATCCATCTGGAAGTTATGAGGTTAAATTATAGGAGGGGAGTTGTTGAGAGAGGTTACCACTCATGTCTTGCAGATGAATATCGTGTAGAGGAAAAACAAAATCTGAAAGAGCTGTAAAAAAAACAAAGTTTTGAAAATTCAAACTAAACGTAAAATAGGTCAGGGAAGTGGAAAGAAACAAAATGTATCTCAGGCGGCGCTGTGCAAGCATTTTCTGTCTTCCCCATATGCAAAGGAATGAATAAGCTAAACATTCCATTTTTACTGAAAATGAATAAAAACTTGTTTAAGTAAACCAACTATAGGTATATAAGATTCAAAGATATCTAGAAGCAGTAGGAAAGTAATGTTCCGAAGATATATGTTAAGAGTCTATTTATTACGATAATATAATCGATCAGAAATTGGTAATGACAAACAAAGCCAGCATTTATATAGTTTCCAATCTGCTCTGTTAAGCAAACTCGTGAGAGTTGTGGCCGAGAAGAAAAAAAACCATTAGTGTTAATTTCTCATCAATAAAACAACAATATAAATATTGAAGTTATCAATCAATTTGACAAATCTATCGATTTCTCACCAATAAAAATAAAAGAGAATATTTTCAAACCAAAACAACAAACCAAAAAGAACAACTTTAAATTAGCAACTTTAATTAAGGATTACAAAACTTTTATCATTGATCTATTACACATACCCTAATTAAGGATTACAAAACTAATTAAGGATTACAAAACTTTTATCATTGATCTATTACACATACCCTAATTAAGGATTACAAAACTTAGTTATGCCAAATTAGCAACTTTAAATTTTATTTTATTTTTCTTAACATGGGATTTTCATTTTATTTACAATTTGTCACCCAAATATGTCTTCACCTGCATTGCAGTAAAGCTCGCTACATTGCTCCTTCAAGAAGCACATTTCTTCTGCCTTTTCAACTATGCCACCAACTTCATGGGATCCGTCTGTTAAGCAACACACATCAAGCACACAATTCGACTTTTAAATGCAATAATTAGCATATACGTACCCAACAAAATTTTAACGAAAGTAATACTTCGCAATATTAGGTTAAGTTTCATTTCAGCTAATAACTTCATAACTAACATCACATAGACACATACAATAGTAGTACAGCAAACCAAAAAATAGCCTCAAATTGAAGTCGGCATAACAACAAAGAACCTGTATAATTCTTCAAAGCTTAGTTTGTGCTTATAAATCTTGTAAATTACATGCTCTAATTTTTTTGTGTTTGAAAGCTTCAGTCTGAAAATCCTTTTATTTTGACCGCTACTCATCTTATCCACAAATTATAAATAAATAAAATAAAATAAAATAACAAAAGTATTGAAAAATGTGGCAGAAGATTGAAAGTTGAAACAATAAAATTATTGAGAAACAAATTTACTCTAGGAAAGGAAAAAAAAAAGAAGAAAAGCCAAAACATGTAAATCAGACTTAACATAATTCGTAATGGAGGGTGATGCAACTGTGTGTGAACAAAAGTTATTCCGTTTATATGAGTAGAAATGACCCAAATCTATAGCAAAGGATTATAATGAAGAAGGTTGTCTGTGTAATATCATCTTGAGTAGTAAAAAAATGCCTCATGAGCTCGGACACATAGAAAGAAAAAAAAAATGGCATATAAAATGCAGAGTTACAGAATTAATGATTGCACAAAATAGGAATATTTTTTATAATCAAAGAAGAAAGAAACATTTAAAATGACATGATAAATTACTACCGTTTTCCGATCCCTCTTGCTGAAATGTGCATTTACAGCTTCGTTGAGATTGCCATGGTATTATATTACTGCACCTAAACCAAAAATATAGAACTATCAAGTCAAAAAACAAAATAACGATAAATATTAAGCTCAAAAAGGAAATTACTATGAATAATAACAACAATAATATGGAAGAACACCATTGTAGGCAATCAAACTGTGAAATTTGTTTACTTGATGCAATCAATAAATCAGAACTATTTGTACCAACAAAAAGCCTTTAATGAGTCGTCTACAAATTTCACTTTGTTGAAGTGGGGAAAAAACCCAAAAAATGTCATATTACAATAGTGTATATACATATTGTAATTGCAAACAGCCATCCAGAAATTCATAACCAACTCATCGAACTTAGTTTTATTCACACAATAAGCAAAATATTAGTTCAATCTAGGACTAAACCCCATAATTGCATACACTTGTTGATAAACTATTAAAATCCAATGTCAATCATGTCATCCCAGCAAAACACATAAAATTCGTACAACTAAAAAATTAAGAAACCATGAAAACGAATATAATAATGGTAAATATATGAAAAAAAGTTTCAAAATTCCTCCCTTGCTAAAATCCTTCAGTCTGCACAATTTCAGTTAATAAAGCAGTTATAGATTGAAACTGAATTTCATAGAAAGACAATATCAAATTCTAAATATTGATGTTGCAGGACGCAACAACAGAGCGTATAATATGATGCAATCATTTCTTGTGTGTTTTCTAAGAATACATATTGATAGATAATAGTGAACTTCCAAAGATGCCACACAATTAGTTTGAGGGTGAAAATAAATCATGATCAGCTAGAAGTAGCAGTAGCAGAGGTGATTGCTGCGTGGGGTTTGACAAAAACACTTCAGGGTCTGCATTCTCAGTCTTATGCAGAGCAGACAATGAAGACAAAATATTACTATTTTCACCTTGTAAAAATTACATGTTGAAAACAATTTGGTCGTTCAAAACATACTGAAAAAAAAATTGAAACTAATCAAGATAATCAAAACTGAAAAAACAAAACGAAAAGCTATATACAGAAAACCGGCTATCCACATAAAAATTTGCAAAATTGAGAGAATCTCGTTAAAGGTTATTTATGATACTCTCACCTATACGCTATAAAATTTTAAAGTGTCAATAAACTGAACTACTGAAAACAAAAAGAGGGAAAAAAATTCATAATACGCAAGAACATTTATTAAAAAAAAATTACCAGCGAATTTTTTTATAAAAAAGACAGTATACACATACCTCATTTTTCAACATACATCATTGTTTAGCTCCCTGACATCAAGTTATGGAGGCAGCGACCCTTTTGAACCGAATCATCTTTGAATTCATAAAAACAAAAAAAAAAAACAAAAAAAAAAAACATCTCATTAAAATAGCCTTATATCCATAAAAAAATCCACCAAAGACACACACACGAAGCATCATAAATGGATTCAAAGAAAAGGAATTACCAAAAAAAATTTAACTCCTCAATAGTGGACAGAAAAAAAATACATCGAACATGGAATTGAAGAATTTTGTTTTTGCAAAATTCAACTTTCATCATATGAAAAAAGAAAAAAAATTATAATCAAATAATGCTTAAAATAACCATAGACAACATCCTAAATAATTAATGTAGAATTGAAATTACACTAATAAAATTATGCACATCCAAGAAAAACCGATCAATCACCACCAACTTCATATTCTCTGGATTAACTCGAGCAAGCTGATTTTTTTCTTCTCTTGTAAAATCATATTTCCGGAAAACCACAATTGAAAAATTGTGTCCGTATGAAGTGGAGAGAAAGAAAAGAATAACAGAGAAGAAAGTGGGTGACAATGGAGACGATGAAGAACTGGAAAAAGTGGGGATTTATGTGTGTGTCAAGTAGAAAAGAAAACGAAATGAAAACGGAATAAAATAGCAGAGGGAGAAGTGGGTGAAAGATGAAGCGCCGAATAATTTCAAATAATTAACTTACAAAGGAAAAGAAAACTTACCTTATAACGTGGCTGAAGAAACGGAACAAAGTAGAATTATAAAACAAAAACCCACACCAGGAATTGAATAAACCGTCAGAGGATTGAATAAACGTGGAGAGAAAGCAGGGAGTGGAGAAGGGAAAAGAAAACAGAAGCAAGAAGATAAGAAAAACCTTTCTTTTATATATTGAGAAAACCGTATGAAAAAAACTTTGGGATATGAATTGTCGAAAATACCCTTAGGTTTAGGTCTAGGGTTGTAGGTCAAAATATCTTCTTTTTATATATAAGATTGTGATCATGCTCAATATCTTGCTATTGTGCGCTTAAAATTGTTGGATGGACCACCACCTTGACCTAACCACCACATTTTTTAGCCAATTATTTGCATTACCAACTTACATAAATTAAATAATAAACCCACCAAAGAATAATAATAATTATTATTATAATAAATAATAAATGTTGGCCCTACTCAACATTTAAAATTTGGTTATAGAAATTTTTAAATTTTAATTTCTTGCATTTTTTTTTGAAAGTTTAAATCTTGCATTGAATTCTTAATTTGGTTTTCTAAAAACAATATTTTTTAGTTTATTTTAATCAATCTTTGAAAAAATAACAATTATTTAAAAAAAATATATAAAGAATGTAGTAATAAATTTATTTAAAAAAAAAGATTGTATTATTACTTTAAATTATTTTTCTGAACCTATATCTAGCATTATTTATTTAATGTCCAGCTGCTATGTCCAGAGTCATCTCTTTTTGTTATTTTCCTCTTTCCAGATTGGACAAGGGAACAAAGGTTCTTTTTCCTCTGTCAAAATTATTACTTTATTTATATTAATTATTATTACATACTCATAATTTGCTGTTAGAATTTGTTCGAAGTTTGATTTTCAATTTGAATTCAATTTCGTTGATTGAAAACTATAGAGAAAACTCCTAGCCAAAGCTTATTTTATTATCCAAAGTGAATAAGAGCCCGTTTCATTAAGCTTATTTTAAATAACTAGTAATAAATTCTTATTTCACATAAGTTGTTTTAAGAGTTAATAAGTTCTTCCGTCTTATTTTTAAAACTATTTTGTAAATTGTTTGGATAAGAAGTTTATAAGCCATTTTTTTAGTCATTATAAAGACCATAAATAAAAATACGGGATATATGTATTCTTTTTAATATCTTAAAGGCTCTACAACAACATAATTTCTTACAAAATAAGATTTTTTCAAAAAAATTGTCAAACGTAGTGAAAGAGCTTATAAGTTCTTAAACATCTTATAAGTTGTTAATGTTGTTATTAACAATTTATAAGCTTAGCCAAATATCATGACCAAATTGAGGTAATAAAGTTTTATTTCAAATGAATAGACCACTAATTACAATTTGACCGACATTATCTTAATTAATTACCAAAACACTTTGCTAATCATTTTTCCACATGTGCATAGAATAGAAAAAGTCAAGTCTGGCATTTAAATTTTGAATTAAAACCATAACTAAGAATTTATTGTCTCATTGGTCTAAAATTTGATCAAATTTATTATACACCTAATGAAATAAACACCAAATTGAATAATGATCAACTACTTACATGCACATATTAGTATACACATACGTGTGCTACTAAAGTGATGTTTGTTTATTTTTTCGGTGAACCATAGACATAAATTTTCGGAATTATTTTACTATTTTTTTTTTTCAGAAGCTCAAAAAACTAGAAAACATTTCTACAAATTCCCAAGCACTACTTTAAAATTTTAGTAACAAACAATCATCAAAGACCAAAGTAATTCTAAAATTGTTGGGGGGGAAGAAAATAAATGGGGCGAAAATGTAATAAACAATAAATAGGTGGACAAGAACACAATTGTTCTGATTGTGATTTTTGTTTGTTCTAAAATTGCGAGCCGTGGGAGATTGGATCTCAAAATTCACACACCATTTAGAATTCTGTTTCCACTAAACAAGTACATATTGATATTACATACACATTCATTTATTATTTATTTATTTATTTATTTATTTTTTATTTTTATTTTTTTATTTATGTATACAGAAAGAAATGAAACAATATAAAAACCCAGCCATTAAATTATAATTTCTGCCCAATTATAGAGAACCCACGCTCCGTAAAGCTGCTCAGAACTTTCTCTCTCTAAATGTCAATGGCGAATCCAAACTCTGCTGCTTAACCTCCGTGGACACGTACATTCTGTTCTGCGTCTGCGTGCTTCAACTGCCGGTGAGCGAAACGAATTATAAAAAAAAAACCTAATTGTGTGTTTCCGTGTCGTCGTGTTTTTTTTTTTGGTAATTCTGTTTTGTGATTGTGGTGATTACGTTGAAATGCGTTGTGGATCTGATCCGAGTTTAAGATCTAAGTGATTTTCATTCGATTTTTATTATCTGCGATTCGCATTTTGTCGTGACGTTGTTTTTTGTTGGCGTAAATGCAGGGTGTTGCCAAGTGATTGATTCAGAACAGGAATTGGTAATTATTTTTCCCCTTTCTGTTTGAGTATCTCTTGGATTCAGCATTGGAATTGATGAGAATTGTACCGATTGATTTGGATAAGTGAGGTAGTTGAAAGGAAAAAAAAGGAAAGTTTTTTTTTTTTTGTGATCTGCTTCTGGTTCTGGTGGCATAGGATCAGATCCTTGTGATGCAGGTCTTGGGTGTTTGATTGCATAGGTATGTGACATAGCAGAGAAGTTGTTAGTTTTTGGTTTTATTGGATCTTTTTAGTGTTGGCCCTTTTCCGATGCTAGACGAGATAGTTTGGAGTTTCGATCATAAATTACGTGAGAGATTAAATCTGATGATTGGTTATGGTTCTCAAAGTTATTGGATTCCGATGTTAGTGCAATAGCCCGAAGCAAGCGGGTATTTTCTGCATTTATTTGGAAGAGGATCACAGACATGAGAAGCGCTTTGTACAATAAACTATTACTGGTCTTCGGCCCTAGACCGCCACTCAATTGGTTGCTTTTGTTTCTAGTTAGCATTTTGGTCTTGATTGCTCTCTTGGGATCTTCTTCTACTAATGGATTTGATTCGGTGGCTACTTCTGCGAGACCTGACATATTTTCTAACTATAGAAGGTTGAAAGAGCAAGCAGTAAGTGATTATTTGGAATTGAAAAAATTAGGGGCCAATCCTTCAAACGATTTTGATCTTTGTGGGAAGGAAAGAGAGAATTATGTTCCTTGCTACAACGTGTCTGCCAATCAGCTGGCTGGTTTTAGCGATGGGGAGGAGTTTGATCGGCACTGTGAAATATCACGAGAACATCAGTATTGTTTGGTCCGTCCTCCTAAAGAATATAAGATTCCCTTGACCTGGCCAAGTGGTAGGGATGTTATATGGAGTGGAAATGTGAAGTTGAGCAAAGACCAATTCCTTTCGTCCGGGAGCATGACAAAAAGGTAATTCTTCTTGATTTCAGTTGCAAAGTTTAGAGTTTGACCTTGTTGGTTACATTTGATTATCTAGTATGCAGTAACGGATTTAAATACTCAATACCTCTCGTGAGAAAAGAGTTTAATGTTTAATTTTGAAACTTCTGTAGGCTGATGTTGCTAGAAGAGAATCAAATTTCTTTTCATTCAGACGATGATGAAATGACTGTTGACGGTGTCAAAGACTATTCTCACCAGATAGCTGAGATGATAGGATTGGGGAGTGATGCTGATTTCCACGAAGCTGGTGTAAGTAACTGTCTTGCTATGCATAGCCATATTTTCCTCTCTTTCTGAAAATTAAATTATGCAGAGGCTGGTTTTTTTTTTTTTTTTTGGGGATGCTTTACAATTACAATTAGCAGATCATTTTATGTTGGCAGTCATTATTATGAGTCAATTTTGTTGTACTTGAAGATTTTTCTTTTTTTTTTTTTTTTTTTTTTTGCGAATTACAGGTGCGCAATGTATTAGATATTGGCTGTGGGTTTGGTAGCTTTGGCGCTCATTTGCTTTCACTTAGGCTGATGGCTGTTTGTGTGGCAGCATATGAATCAACTGGTAGCCAAGTTCAGCTTGCCCTTGAGAGAGGTCTTCCAGCAATCATTGGAAACTTCATCTCAAAACAACTACCATTTCCTTCGCTATCATATGACATGGTTCACTGCACTCAGTGTGGCATTTTCTGGGATGACAAAGGTACTCAATCTGTTAGTTTTGGAGTTAATTATATTTCCTCTGTCTTGTGATTTTCCTAATGCAATGGGTCTCTTGTCATGAGATGAACTTTCTGAGTTGATGCAAATTGACTATTGTTGAAACGTTTTGATAATTATATGTTTTAGGGATAGTGAGGAAGTTGTTTAAAAGTTATATAAAGAGTGAGACATAAGAGAGCATTTTATGAAGTTATTGTCTTCAGATGAAATGTAGAGATCTAATTGTGTTGAATCAATTGTAAATTATTTCTGTTTGGTTACATATTCGTGTGACCTTATACTAGTTTGCTGCTAATTCTTGACAGTTACTCCGAATCTGATTATTGTTGTTGTAGTTTCATGTTTAGGGATAACGCATTTACGTGTGGACCACATACACCTGCATGTCACACTGGTTCGCCAGAAAACTTTATTCAATTCACAATACTTGTTTATTTTAGACAAAATAAAGTTCCTTGGTATTCAACTATTTGTTTATTTTTTCTTTTATGTTTCTAGAAGACCTTGAATGACTTCTAAAAGATTCATTAAAATGCAAAAAATAGTTAGTTATTCTGCATTTCTTGACTGACTTCTATTTGATTTTCATGGTAAGATATAATAAAATAAATCTTTTTTTTGAACGAGAGTCATATGTTTCTTGATCATCACAAGGAAACTATATCCATAATTCCTCAAGCTAACTGGTTAACACTTAACAGAGTTAGAAACTAAATTGTATAATAGATATTCGGCTGAAGGTACGACTAAGATTTTGTCAAGGCAGCTTTAACAAATATGAGTCTGTTAAACTTTGCCTTTACATGCATTTCGACTTTTTACGAAATTGCATAGAGTAGTTATCCTATTTGTATAAGTGGATCCAGTCTTTTCAAAGTCAGATTATGTGTAAAAGTTCTCCCTGTTCTGGTAGATTTATGTATGATAGATATACGACTCAAGTAAAGATTGTAAATTATCTAGGCTTACTAAAAAGATCGTTCAAGCTTCAAGTCATAAAATGTTTCCAGAACAGGAAGAGTTTTGCATGCTATATTCTTGTTCATTACTCATTGGATTATGGAGATCACAGAGAGGAGGAATGGGAGGATTATGGTTAACTCTTTGAGATAGTATCCGAAAAATAATAATCTTAGTTGGATACTTTTCATTGGACTGATGATGCGTTTCTCTATCAGATGGAATGTTTCTCATTGAAGTTGACAGAATTCTCAAGCCCGGAGGTTACATTGTTTTAACCTCACCCAGAAGCAGGCAGCAACGAAACAAAGGAAGCATTTCAACTCCTCTTGAAGAATACACCCAAAAACTTTGTTGGAATCTTGTGGCAAAGCAAGAGGACACTTTCACCTGGCAGAAAACAACAGACGCTCGATGCTACATATCTAAGTGAGACTAGTTACTAATGTCTCATTCATTCTCTTTCTTTAAATCCCATTCATCTTTGCTCTTATTCGTATATGTACCAATGTTTTTGGTTCTTGATTCTACTAGGCATGGCACTTTTCCCCTTTGTAATGGAGATGACGGCCCGTCATACTACAAACCACTTGTTCGGTGTATAAGTGGTACTGGCAGCAAGCGTTGGATTCCAATTCAGAACAGAACTTCTGGTTCTCTTGGATCTTCTGAACTTGCAATTCATGGTATATAATCTTGACTCTTGACTATATCACTAGTTCATTACTTAGTATATCCTTTCATCCTAACAGATTATTCATTTCAATTCGGAATTAGGAATAAATCCTGAAGATTTCTACGAAGACTTGGAGTTCTGGAGATCTGCTTTAAGAAATTATTGGTCGTTACTTTCTCCCTTGATTTTCTCCGACCATCCAAAGAGGCCTGGGGATGAAGACCCAATGCCTCCATACAACATGGTTCGAAATGTGATGGACATGAATGCTCATTACGGAGGTTTCAGTACTGCCCTACTGGAAGCTAGAAAGTCTGTGTGGGTGATGAATGTTGTGCCAGTTGGCGAACGCAATACCCTTCCTACCATTCTTGATCAAGGTTTTGCCGGTGTTTTGCATAGCTGGTAAGATGTTAATTCTCTTAGACCCTTCCTATCATTTGTGGGTAAGAATTGTTTGATAATTTTTCTGACATCTCGTGGGTGATTAGCGGAGCATTGAGTTCCTTTTTTTCTTTTTTTTTTTTGCATCTGTAATGGTAAATTCTACTCTTCTATCTATTTATTATTATTTTTTTGGCACCAAAGCTAAAATCAAAGTTGTTATGACACAGGTGTGAACCTTTCCCTACATACCCCCGGACATACGACATGCTTCACGCCAAGGGACTTCTATCGCACCTTGCTACAGAGAAATGCAGTACGGTTGATTTAATTTTCGAGATGGATCGTATTCTTCGGCCTGAGGTAATGCTTAACTTAATTTTTTTTTTACTTAAATGCCCCCATGCTCATACTCATTCATTAAAACGAATAACTACACGTTTAGTATATACACTCTTGATACCAACTCTCTCAAATTTCGATATATTGAACCGTGGCTCTTATTTGGCAGGGATGGGTTATAATATCCGATAAAGTTGCTCCGATAGAGGCAGCACGCACCCTCGTGACACAGCTTCGATGGGAAGCCCGTGTGATTGACCTTCAAGATGGCAGTGACCAGCGCCTACTAGTATGCCAAAAACCGTTTGTGAGAAAATGATGTTTCCATTTCTCACCCAACGATATTCCACTCTTTTTTTTTTCTTCCAACTCCGGTAACTTCTAGAAAACATCGCCTGATATTGAACGATTAAACATACTGTCTATAAGTTTGACACGCACTGTGCAATCGCATTTAGTATCGTTGGTATAGATTCATCGAAGAGGAGACTCACGTGCCTGCCCAACAAGGTTTACCAAATCAAATTTTGGTTCATTTTATTTTATTTTTTTTCCTGGAGAAAAATATGTACTCGAAAGAGATGGATTCGGAAATTTTTTGGACGGTTGTAGATATAAGAGTAATGTTTGCTGCAGTAGTAATTCCAGTCCAAGGAATAGTAGATTTTTTTTCTTTCCCCCTTCTAAGACAGCTGTACCAATTCATTTTATCCATTGTTTTTCTCATATTTATTTGTTAATTATTTGTGTTGTTTAATTGTGTTTGTACCAGAACTAGAAGTGTAAGAGAGATTTTGCCTTATTTTCCTTAGTTTATTTTTAGAACTAAATCAAATGTGTGGATCTGTACAAATGTATGGTAGGATGGATTTTGTAGAGGCTACACACTGTAGAATTCATCGGGTAATTTTACACCATTGATTTACGCATAATGATAATAATACACACAACAACTGTTTATATAGATTTATGATGCAAGATTGTCCGGTGTATTTTATCAGGTATAGCATCTCATAGACCGTATAATGATAAGTTCGTCGAGTATAACATAAATAAACCGTCGATACAAAAACAAACTTTCTGATCAAATTATAGTACTAAATTTCTAAAAGCACTGATTTGTTTATATGTTATCGAACAGAAATATTTATTCAATCTGAATTTGTTATATTAATAAATATTCGAGCAAAAAATGATTTGATTTTTACTAGGGGTGGCGATTTTTACTCAACTTGAACCGGATTCAAGGATCGAACTAAAAAAGAACCGGATCCAGAATCAACTTATATGAATCCGCATGGATCTATTTAATATCTAAACTCATGTGGTTCAAAATCGATCATACTCAACTTTCACACTTGCACATATTCACGCTGATACACACGTATAAACACTCTAACACACATTTCACACACACACACACTTTGGACACACATACATTCCACACTCGTATAAAACTCACACTCACAATTTCCGATCAAAATAAAAATAAAAACCATCATTTAAAATATTGTAATAATACTTTAATATTTAAAATCAAGTAATTAAGAATCCGCACTAACCGCCACACGTGTGTTCCCACAAGTTCCGAAAAATGGCATGATCTGCGCCCCCCACTTTCTGCATATTTACCCAACTGCCCCTGCACGGACGGTGTATTCTCTTCCCCCCCCTCCACTCCCCTTTTATTCATAAACAGACTATTTTCTAATTTCTACATAACCTCTCTTTTCATTCATTCACACTCTCCGCATCAAAATTCATCACACCTCGTCGATTTTTTTTCTGCATTTTTACCTATTTCCAGATCTCCAATTCGAAAATGTCGACGGAGAAGGAGAGAGAATCTCACGTCTATTTGGCCAAGCTCGCCGAACAAGCCGAGCGTTACGATGGTATGTGTATTCTCTGTATAAAATGCGTTAATTACGGCGTTGTTGTTTGATAATGCTGTATGTAGATGTGGAGCCGCCGCCGGCGTAGATCATAATTGATCGGCGGCATGCCTTTGTGTTTTTGTGTGTATGCATGTATGTATGTATGTATGTATGTATGTATGTATGTATGTATGTATGTATGTATGTATGTATCTGATTTTAAGGCAATTTGCTTTTTCGGTTGATGATTTTGTTTAATGGGGGAAATGTGGATGTTCGTAGACGATTACTCGTGCGTATGATTGGAATTGGGGAATGGGCGCTGATGGAATTGAATTCCCTCTTTGTGATGTTATGTATGTGAAATTTGTGCTGTTTTGTTGCTGTTGATTTTAATGTGCTATTATAAATGAAACTGGTTTTAAATTAATTTACTTGTTTCCTGTTTGACATAATTCTCCGACTTCGAATTTTGGTGGTGAAAACGAAAAAAGGAAATAGTCCAGACACTGAAATTGAGAAGAAAAAAAAACATGTTAGTTCGTTTTCTTGTAGTTATTATTTACGCATTCATTTTCGTGGACATAAAACAGGATAAATGATAACGATGCAACAATATCATCAATATAGGTTCGTTTTAATTTATTTTTCCATTTGTTTCGCAGAAATGGTTGAAAGTATGAAACAAGTCGCAAAACTAGATGTTGAGTTGTCAGTTGATGAAAGAAACCTACTGTCCGTGGGGTACAAGAATGTAATTGGCGCTCGAAGAGCTTCATGGCGAATCATGTCTTCCATTGAACAGAAAGAAGAGTCCAAGGGAAACGAGAACCATGTGAAGCTAATTAAAGGTTATCGCCAGAAAGTGGAGGATGAGCTATCAAAGATTTGCCAGGACATTCTCTCTGTCATTGACAAGCATCTGATTCCCTCTTCCGGTTCGGGAGAAGCTACTGTTTTCTACTACAAGATGTAAGTCATTTTGCTCTTGGAATTACGTGAAGTTAGTTTTTAGTCGGTTCTTGATACAGACAGCTTCCTACTTTCCTTTACTCTTGTTATCGTCATAACTGATTCGGTTATTGCACTGTCACTTATTTCAGCCCGTATTTGCTTTTATAGTGAGTTATTATTCACTTATACGATCAAAAGAAAGGAAAAATAAGTGCATGTTCATAATTATCATATTTATCTTTAAGTTAGCTAGTAAAAGTTTCCTGTTGGTATCATTGACTCAATTCTGGGCTTCGGTTATTCAGGAAAGGTGATTATTATCGCTACCTCGCTGAGTTCAAGACTGATCAGGAAAAGAAGGAGATAGCTGAAGAGTCCCTTAAGAGCTACGAGGCATGTTAATTTATCTTGTGTTAATGCTAGTTCATTCTGTTTCTGATGTGTTTCTTGTTTTCCAATGTTTTATAGGCTGCTTCAGCCACTGCAAATACAGATCTCCCATCCACCCACCCAATCCGTCTCGGTCTTGCTTTGAACTTCTCGGTATTCTACTACGAGATCATGAACTCTCCTGAAAGGTAAATTTTTTTTTTCCTTCCAATTTTTGGCATGATTATTCATGAATAAATCTATCTAGAAATCCTCAAATAACGTGTTGTTCGTCTAAAACTGACAGGGCTTGCCATTTGGCGAAACAAGCATTTGATGAGGCCATTGCTGATTTGGATAGTCTGAGCGAAGAGTCTTACAAAGACAGCACTTTAATTATGCAGCTGTTGAGAGATAACCTCACTCTCTGGACCTCCGATTTGCCTGAAGATGGTAAGTAATAAATTCTCTAATTTGTCTACGTGTGTGTATCAGGGACGTGTAATTAACTCATTCTCATCGATGCTCCAATTTATTTCTATCGAGGACTTGATAGATACTTTTCTTAGATGGTTCCGTAGTTTTTTAAAATTTACAGCAGATTCATATCTGTTTAATATACTATACTCAGACACTATTCGAACTGTTTGTCTCTCTTTTTTTCCATAAAATCCAAGATTACTTTGATGGCTAAGCTGGATAAATAATTTTGCCCATCACAGGTGAGGACAACATCAAAACTGAGGAATCAAAGCCAGCACAGCCTGAGGTGAAAAATTAACTCGATTATCTTTAAGATATGATAATATATCCCAACTAATCGAGCTTCTTTCGTAACTGGAGCATTTAGTAATCATGTTTTTCTTTTTACTGCAGCAGTAATTTCATTGCAGCACCTGGAACAAGTTCTTCTGGAGGGTCTAGCTTTATTAGTTAAACACCGTCAACTGTCATAAGCTGGTGATATTTCAATCCGTTTTATCAGAGCAATGAGAAAATGAAACGTGTTTAATCTGCGTCAGCATTTTGCCTCCAAAGCCCTGGTTTCCGAGGAAACGATGCAACACTTTTTTTGTTTGTTTGTTCGTTTTGTTTTTGTTTTCACCAAGTTTTATTCTGTCTACTTTCTTTCACAGTTACTTACTGCCCTATGAAAATATCTCAAGCAATTTACTCAACATTTCATCTTTACACAAATTTAGGGAAAATGAAAATTATGAGGAATAAGTTTCGTTTCTATTTAGATGGAATAATTTGAAGCAAAGATTTAAAAAGTACGATAACGAGTCCATTGAGCTTATTAATTCGTTTATCTGACGATGAATTTCAATTTTTTATTCGTTGTGGTGGTCGGTGGATATCAAATTCGTGGCTAGGAATCAGAAACATAAATTGACATCAAACAGGAAAAAGAAGGAATAATTGAATACTAATTGAGAATAAAGTGAAGAGAGAAGGTAATTAATTGCTTATATAATTATACAAAGAAAGTGCAGTAAATTAAAAAGCATGCCTGAAAAAAAATCTCAGACAAAGTAACAGAGGTGGCGATATACGTACTCCGATTTCTGTTCCAAGTGCTTAATATCAAAGATACGATAAAGACAAGTAACCATCGAAACTCGGTAGGATAATAGAGCAGAACTGAAACCTTCGTGAAAATAAGATATATCAACTTGCATTCGTGAAAGCCAAAAAAAAAAAAAGACTATGTACTCTCGAGAACTATAATGCGTCAACAATCAACTTTCGTCCTCGAAATAACTCTGTGGCAACCGAAAGTCTTCCTCCTGACTCAGAAACTCCGCGTCTTCGTCATCTTGTTTCTGAGATCCAACAAAAAACGAGACACAATGCTTGAGTGCACGTGCATCAAAAGTTTGGTTTATATCTATATAAATCATAAATAATTTTACATGTGATACACAAAAAAGATTGGATGATGAAATTTTGATGGCTCTAAATCGTATGTTATACTCCCGGGTGGTGTTGTAAGTTCTCATTTTACTTTGTAAAGCTTAGTAAGATTGAATTCGAAAGCTTCAATGATGTTCGACTTTTTTCTAATCTGGATGATATAAGTAGACAAAGAAAAGTCGAAGGGGCCTACCACCATTTCCAAGTTGTAAAATCGACCCAGCAACTTCAAGATTTCGTCCGAGGTAAATGGACGGTTAAAACTGTAACAATTAGGACAAAATACTTTCGAAAGTCAAAACGATTATTCCTCATAAACATCGTATAAACTTCCATTTCTTGATGCAATTAATGAAACCGTAAATTAAAAAGAAAAGCCAAACGAACCTTCTGCGCATGTATTCAGTTAAACCATAAAGAACAAAGTGACGATGCACCCCTGGAATCATCATCAATAGATAAATTCATCAAAACACTAATAAAAAAAAAAAAAAAAAAAAAATACTACGGTGAAAAGCCAATTTGCTCTCTCTCTCTCTCTCTCTCTCTCTCTCTCTCTCTCTCTCTCTCTCTCTCTCTCTCTCTCTCTCTCTCTCTCTACAAACGAAGATACATAATCTAATTACATGACATAACGATATTTATAGCGCATTAACTTTCACAAAGACCTACTAAAAACATAATCGAATCGCATTTTCAATATCCAAAATATTTATAAAAAAAAAAAAACGATATCCACCCTAAAAACGAAGATATCTACATTGACGATAAAAACCAACAAGTCATCATCCCAATTCCTATCAATTTTTCAAAATGCTCACCCGAATACTGAATAATGCTAAACTAATTTTAGCCATAAATGGACAACATGCATGCAGACAAACATCAATGTAAATTTATACTCCATCTCAATTCTCAACAACAAAGGGGGCTTAAAAATAAATAATGAAAATCAGCTTAAGAAAAAAAAAAAAAAAAAAAAACCTTGTAATTTGGCAGGTGGGTAAATTTCGAGAGCTTCGAGCAATCCCAACTCCAACTCCAACTCCACCTCTGATTTATCCTGCCCAAAAAAAAAAATCAACAAAAAATTAAAATCAACCCAATAATTAATTACACCGGTGATTAAAAATTAAATAAAAATTGAACCTTGCGGAGTGAGGAAGAGTTGATTTTGCATGGAGAGTGGACGGAGATTCCGTCTTGCTCGTGCTCGTCTTGCTGTTGTTGTTCTTCGTCGTCGTCTTCAATTTCTTCTTCTTTTTTAATTTCTTCTTTCACTTCTTTCTTAGATTTACCATTTGTCATCTGCCCCATCGCTTTCGCTTTCTCTCTCAAATGATTCGATTCGACTGTGTTGTTATATTCAGTAATTTATATATATATTTATTCGGAATTTAGAGAGAGAGATTTTAGGGATTTTGGTTAATCAGATCACACAGTACAGAAAAGAAAAAAGAAAATGGAAGAACCAAGGGTTGATTGATGTGGGCTGGGCTGAAGGTGGTGAACTGGAGTTTATTGGACTAAATAAAGATATGTTGGACTCAAAAGGCTAATACTTTTTATGGGCCTAATTGTAAATAAAAAAGTTTATTAAAATTCGGGTTATTAACACAATATTTAAATTATAATTAAGCCGAAAAGAAAATGATATAATAAAAATTTAAAATTTAATATAAAACTATTTGCATTATAAAAGGGTAGATATATTTATACTTGTTGATTCAGGCTAAATATGTGTTTAAATAAATATTATATAGACTTAGCATACGCTTACTTACAGTGTCGAATAATAGACGAATGACTTAGTTGGTGGAGTAAGAGAGCCTGACGTTTAAGGGTATGAAAATGCGTACTACCAAAACTTTTTTAACCGGATTTACCTCATTGTTTCTTTTATATCTCATTAGCAATTCTCATTTCTTTGATATATCCGAAGTTTAAATAAATTAATTAATTTTTTTAAATAAAAAATAAAAAACAACAACAACAACATTGGTGTCAACGTTGTAATTTTTGTTTGTGCATATGTTTGTTTATGATGAATAAAAACACACAAATTAATTGACATCAAACTCTTGTTTCTTTGCTCCTTCACAATGGCTTCAATCTCTAACATTTATCTCATCCACCAATCAAGAATTTCTAACTTGTATAACAGAAATAGAAATGGACATATTATTACTACTTCAAGAGCAAATCACTTGGAATTTTCGCCACTTCCTAAAAAGATCGAATTATCCGACCGGGTGAAGTTTTCAAGAGTGGATGGAATCTTGAACCGTTGTGGAATCTCCGATTTTTGTATAGCTACTAAAGCTGCAGCTTCAGATGCAGAGGGTCATGAGATTGAACTCTCTAACGGGTACTTTTACGACCACTTCGAGCCGTTCGATATGTTATATTTGTTTGGTTCATATTAATTTCTTTTTATTTATTTTAATTGCAGGTTTGCTAAGCCTAACAAGAGCTTCTCAGAGAGATTCCCAGCTCTTGTTACTGGATTCTTTTTCTTTACATGGTAAAGTATTTTTCTGGATTTTTTTTAAATATTCTACAGTTTCTATTAATATTATAATATGGTTTTTTATGATACAGGTATTTCCTGAACGTTATATTCAATATACTCAACAAGCAGGTTTACAACTATTTCCCATATCCATAGTAAGTCGTGTTTCTTGAGAGACCTTTAATTAATTAATTAATTAATTAATTAATTAATTAATTAATTAATTAATTAATTAATTAATTAATTAATTAATTAAGATTATTTTCAACTTTGAAAAAAAATTATTCATCTTTGTACAGTTTTGTGTCAGCTATTCATCTTCTTGTTGGAGTAGTATACTGCCTCATTAGCTGGGGTGTCGGTCTACCAAAACGCGCTGTAACTTCCGTTTATTTTCTCAAACTCTAATATATTCATGTAAAAATTATTATTAGCTTTTTTTTTATTGTGTAATTTCGACGGTGTTTATGATTTCAGCCAATGAATAAGGAGCTTTTAGGGCTTCTCACACCGGTAGCATTCTGTCACGCTCTCGGACATGTCATGTCAAACGTATCGTTTGCAGCAGTTGCTGTCTCTTTCACACATACCATCAAAGGTATATTTGTGTATATGTTCGACAAACACGAATGAATCTATTCGAACTAAGTTGACAAAGAAACTAAAAACCTTAACTACTTGCCTCTGTTTGTGTACAAAACACAGCGTTGGAGCCATTCTTCAGTGCTGCTGCTTCACAGTTTATCTTAGGCAACCAGATTCCGCTGCCACTTTGGCTGTCGTTAGCCCCTGTTGTAATGGGTAAGTCAACAAGAATTACGATCCATCGACCGAAAAAAGGAAATTGAACTCGAATTTTTTTAAGTTGTGTGATCTCTGGACTGCTATCCAGGTGTGTCAATGGCGTCTATGACGGAACTTTCCTTTAACTGGACCGGCTTCATCAGTGCAATGATATCGAATGTTTCCTTCACTTACAGAAGCATTTACTCAAAGAAAGCTATGGTAAAATCCGACAGCAGAACGTAAAATTTTTCGGAAATTTGTTTTCCTGTAAAATTGCTGACGAGGGCTTTCCTGTCATTTCATGTTTGGAACATCCTGGCAAACTGCAACAACAACAAAAATCTGAGTATAACAGACGGGGATGGACAGTACAAATATCTATGCATACATTTCAATTATAGCCCTATTGTTTTGCCTCCCACCTGCAATATTAGTAAGTTTTCTCTTGACCAACGACGATTACATGAACATTTCGACATCTGTCCATTTCACTGTAATTTCTTGAAGAAAAAAAAACAGATTTACGATTTCTAGTTTTGAACTTTTTTTTCAGATTGAAGGTCCTAAGTTAATGCAATATGGGTTCAAAGATGCAATTGCTAAAGTTGGTCTGACCAAGTTCTTGTCTGATCTCTTCTGGATTGGAATGTTCTATCATCTGTACAATCAGGTAATTTAATTTACAGGGCTTTGGTTATGTCGGTTTACTTAGCAAGTACATATTACCTATTCTTTTTTCTCGTTTCCTCGTAACTTCAGGTAGCTACAAACACATTGGAAAGGGTTGCACCTCTCACACACGCTGTTGGAAATGTGCTGAAGCGAGTCTTTGTTATCGGATTCTCCATTGTTGTCTTTGGTAATCAATCACTTCTATGATGCTTATACTATAAAACTTGCGACTTTCTCCATATAGTTAAATATTATTATCTACGAATGATTGGGAGAACAAATATTGGCAGGCAATACAATCTCTACACAAACTGGAATTGGTACTGGAATAGCCATTGCCGGTGTTGCTATGTACTCACTCATTAAGGCAAACATGGAGGAGCAAAAACGGGTACGATTTTTACAAGATTATTTGGGATTTTTACTGCACTTAGGCTTATGAATGTTTTTGTATCATTTACAGAAAGATGCTCAGAAGACTCGTGCATCTTAAGGCTCCAACATCTACCAAGCAGCTGAATTCACATGCAATTTGTAGGAAATCACAAGTCAACAAAAACCACTGGAATCGTGCTGATCTATGTTCTTGCAAAATTACTTTTTGAAAATTTCCCTACATTTTTTCACCAACTATTGTATGCTCAGAAATTTCTAATGTCGTCTGAGGCCAGAAACTACATTTAATAAGTGGCTTTTCATAGTAATTGCAATGATTTTAGAAGAAAACATTAGCGAAAAGAATCTATAGCATCATGATGCAGCTGTGAATATTCTTGAGAACTTACTTTCATGAATAATCTGTGATGTAGTGAAGATTAAACAGTAGGTCACGTCGAACCTCGGTGCCCATGCGAATTTTGAACTGTCTGGCCAAAGATTCTACCTTTTCATCAGATTCATAATCCATCTCTCGAACACATCGCCTCCGAACCTTCTTTAGCATTTCCTTCGATGGCTCACAACCGGCACCCATCTGCTTGAAAAGTTTTAATGCCATTTCAGAACCAGATTTGATATATCAACGGAAAAACTAATGGGCGTATTTGGTTTTCATATAAACAAGAATATAACTGCATGGGGAATGAAAATTACCATGTGATCAATCACAGCCAGAGCAGCTTTGGGATCCCGTGTAGTAAGATGAGCATCAATAAGTAGAGAATACGTAGTCATGTTTGGTTTCACACCTAATCCAATGCAGTGCTCAAATACTTTTACAGCTTCATCTCTCTGTCGCATAAAAAGGCCTTTTTATTGATTCAACAGAAGTAACAAGTATTGTATCACATAGTTGCTAAAATAGGGAAGAAAGAAGGTGGATCTAGGGATGAAGAGAGTTTACCTTGCTGAGTTTCCCAAAGGCACATATCAGGGCATTGTATGAATGTATATTAGGGGTCAATCCAAAAGTTGCATTGATGTCATTAAAGGTCTGGTAAGCACGATCAAGATCCCATATGTTTGCACAGCCAAGAATTATACAATTTAAAGCAGCAATAGACTTATATGGAGGATCAGCTCGACTTAAATTCTCCAGCTGGTGATAAACCTAAGCAAACACTTCAAAATTCAGTCAAGTACCAGATAAATAACATTACAAGTGCAGCGCTATATACTACCGGAAAATTATATAATAAGGCAACCACCAAGCAAAAAGATGAAAGAAAGCCAATGACAAGCAATTTCATGTGAACCTCAATATTTGATCCCCTAACTTCCGAAGTGGCATGAAAATTTTGAAGTATGAGCGGCTAGAATATGAACTGAAGTTTCACGACAGATCAAAATGGTTCGTTACTGAACCTTATTTTTAATGTATGCTTTCAATGCACAAAACGGATGAGATTATTCTCTACTAAGTAAAAAATTTGCACACCATATAGACGATGAAATTCCTCCTGTTATGGGATACTCTTCGTATTGACCAAGAAAAAAAATCCTGAGAGTTACAGTTCTTATGCTCAACTATAAAAGATGATGCACAAACAAGTGGGGACAGAAAACTCTTCTCTATTTGCAGGAAACATATGTGTGGTGCCCATGAAACATGTGTATCTTTCAAAAAGATCTTTCACAAGAAAATTACTCTTAGTGAGTGGGAAAAAAATGTCAGCAAATCAATCCTCCCTGACTTTGATAAAACCCATTCTTTTCTCAAGTGTTCTTTGATAAAATACCTAAAAGAAATATTTTGGCCATACAATATGACCTTAAGACCCTATTAGTGACTTCAATTATATTTGTATGCACGTATGAGGATATAAATGATCAAGCATATTGTTTAGTAGTGCTACTTACTGCACTCAAGAAACATTGATTTTGCCAGTGGAGACTTAACTACGCCTAAAAAAAAGCAGAAAAAACTAGTCCTACTAACCATAAGCTTAACACCTGAAGGCATCTAGGTAAAAGAACTTACAGTATCCAAAGTCGTGAAACCTTTCTTGGAGCAGGCGACGACCAGAGGATTCAGAGAATAAAATGGAGAGAAAAGACCTTCTCCATCGTCTTTGTTAGAATTTCCATGGTCAACCTCAAAATCTTGTAGAGTACTAAAAGCCATTTGTAGGTTCCCCGAATTAGCATAAGCATAAATTTTCGCAATGTATGATTCAGGACGAGGAACCTTCTTTTGGCGTAATGAACGCTTCAGTACAGCCCACGAGCCACCCAAGAGCCTCGAATTGTACGTTCGACCAGCAGTTCCGAGAGCAGAGACAACTAATCCTTCATCCACAGAGAGAAGAACAGAGGGGCTCGCTGTTTCTCCTTGAGCAATCCATTTGGCCATGAATTCAAGGGCATAATAAGTTAAGTCGCTGTTATCTGATTGCATTGCAATGTCAGCAATAAAATTACACGTACGCCAAGGAGGACGTAAATATTTGTTTTGGTCCGATTTCTGATAACATCCGTAAAATCACAATTAGTCGTCAAAATATGAGGTATTCGTATGGATATTCAGATAACCAGCCAAAACATATGTACCTTGCATCTCTCTATAACTGATACCAAGGTATCCAGCCTCCCATTATTAACACAAGTTTGGACACAGCCTATGAATGTAGTCACTGACAACATATATCCAGATTTCAGCATCATATCTATGTTCTTGATGGCAGATTCGATCTGGTTTGTAGAAAGAAGCACATTAACAATCAAGTCATATGACTCATCATCGGGCAAACAGTTCCCGTGTTCTTTTCCTATCTGAAGCATCCTGGCCTCAATAAAGTAAAGACTCAATTATCAGCGGAAACCCTCTAGGGAATCAATTTTCATGTTTGAGTAGAAAAGTAGTTTCCATGAATTAAATATATGGTGAAACAATCATGGAAGCAGAAAAAAGATTAATCCCCCGTTGCTACCAAACCATACACCCCGACCCAAACAAAAGTAATGCAGAAAATACTACATTTAAATTGGATTACTCATTGTGTTGAAAGAAGGAGGTGGAAGAATGCAATAAGAAATAGAACACGAAAGAAGAAGGAACGGATAAAACAAAAGAATCAACGAAACAATGCTTATTGTCTGTAGCTCTAACATCATAGATGTAACACTAGTAGCAATAGAAATACACGAATGCAATCCACAACCATTACGCGTAACAAGTTTTAGTTCCAAGAATATACATAAAACTACCGTGGTCTATTGATCAATTGATATTCAAGCAGTGCTATTCATTTGCTCAACAAAATGCAACGAAAAAAATCCAACCTTCCGATCAATCTCTCAGCTGCCCGTGATTCACCGGCCAGCTGCATAGCCTTGAGCACAAGGTTAAACGACGCAGTATTAGGCAATACCCCACAATCGTCCATTTGCGCCACGATATTGAGCAGTTCCCCCGGAGGCGTCCCCAACAGCATACTCGCCCTCAAATAATGGTTATACAGATTCACGTCAGGCTTGTTCGGCTTCCCGCTATTATCCAAAGACCTAATCCAGAACTCGAACAGCTGCTTCACTTCCGCCCATCGATGTTCCGTCATCCAATCCGCTAACTGATCAATCAAACTCTTCGAGTCGAGCATTTTCGCTAGCGATTTCATTTGCTCATCGAATTTTCCGGGGAGAAACCCGTAGCTGATGTGTACTTGAGCGGCGGTAATTACGGGAGAATCAGAGAGGGTAGAACTGAGGGATTTAGGGTTTGGGGGTAGTGGATTCTGCGACGGCGGAGGCTCCGCCGGCTGCGATTGTTGGCAGAGGTGGGCGAAGGTGGAGATGGATTTGAAGTTCGGCAGCCTGATGAACGGTCGAGATTTCGCTAAAAATGGTGCCAGTACCATTTTTTCCGGCGAAATGTATATATTTAATCTGTCAATTTCATGGTTGGAGATGGAAGATTCATTGCTAGGGTTTTTTTGGGGGTTTTTGCAGAATTGTTGTTGGTTTTGATCAATGTGATAATGGCGGGGCAAATTTCTTTTTATATTTTTAAAATAATCCAAAAATAAATGCGCGCGTGAGTGAAGAAGGCGCGTTGACCTCGATCCAAAAGTAGACGGGCCGAATTTTATTATCAAATTGGGCCCGATGGCCCTTATGGGCTCAAATGTTCTGATTTGTGGGCTTGGCTCAAATTATAGCCCAATGTGTATTAATTTATTATTATGTTCAATATATATATATTTTATATAATAGATTTAAATTCGGGTTTATTTTTTTATTATAGGCTTTTTACACCAGCAAAGGACAAATAAAAGCTACATTTATCCCTTTCTTATTACTTTTAACTTTTAGAATCTTCTCTCTCTATCTTTTTACCTTTTGTTATTTTTTCTCTGAATAAATTACTGAAATGTTAAATGTCGTTTCGATTTTGGTAATACTGTTTTGGGGTTGTCTAGGGTCCGAGAGGGGTTGTACTACTCGGACCCAAACGATTGAAAATCAACCAATAAAAATGTGACACGTATGATTTGTACGAACCCCACAAAAAAAGTACGATACCTCCCTTATAAGTGAAATTACATAAAAACCCCTATAACTAAAACTTAAGTAACAATTAATAATAATTAATAATTAGGGCCATGACAAGGGACTTAAATGCACATTGGTCCACATAAACAACAATCTTTCAAATAAACCCATCACCATGTCTTTACTCTAAAATACCCTCCATAATATATTTTTTTATCAATTTCATCCATTATACTCTAACTTCCTTAATATTACACATTGACCCCGAATTTAAACAAATATATCACATTAACCCCCATTTTAATAATTTCTTGAAAAATATTTTTTTTTAGAAAATAAATTTTTTTCTGAAATTTTTTTTCCGGCCAGATTCCGGCGTTGACCTGGCGGCGTTGTCCGGCATTGAATTTTTTTTTTTTAAAACATTTTTTTTTGTGAATTTTTTTTCCTGCCAGTCAACCGCAGTTGACCGCCGCTCTCCGACGTTGACTTTTTTTTTTTAATTTCGTTTTTGAAAAAAAAATTTCTTAGATAAAAATATTTTAATTAATATTACTATCTTGCCTACTAAATTACTGTCTCATACAGTAATATTACTATTTCAGACAATAATATTACTGTTTCGGACAGTAATATTATGAATATTATTTCCCCAACCGTAATATTACTATCCCAAACAGTGACATTATTGCTTGAGACAGTAATATTACGGTCGAAGACAATAATATTACAGTCGAAGACAACAATAATGCAGGCCAAGACGATAAAATTAATTAATACAGTAATATTATTGTCTCAGACAGTTAAATTACTGTTGGAGACAGTAATTTTGAGCCAAGACAGTAATATTAATTAAAATATTTTTTTTAAGAAAAAACAAAATTTAAAAAAAAAAGTCAATTAACAGTTAAATTATTGTATCCGAAAGCTAAATTACTATAGGCAAGACAGTAATATTAATTAAAATATTTTTTTTAAGTAAAAAAAAAAGTCAATTAACAGTTAAATTACTGTCTCCGACAGTTAAATAACTGTGGAGACAGTAATTTAGCAGTCAAGATAGTAATATTAATTAATATATTTTTTTTAAGAAAAAAAAGGTTAATTAACATTAAATTACTCTCTCCGACAGTTAAATAACTGATGTAGACAATAATTTAACAGCCAATACATTAATATTAGTTAAAATAGTTTTTTTTAGAAAAAACAAAATAAAAAAAAAAAATCAAAGCCAGAGACCCTGCGATTGAGCTACCGGAAAAGAATTTCAGAAAAAAAAAAGTTTTGAAAAAAAAAGAGTTAACGCCGGAGACCGTGGGTCTCTGGTGGTCTCCGGTGGTGGCGAGTCAAAATTGGGGTCAAAATTGTAATTATGGTAAATAATTGGTTAATTGGTGAAATTGGGCTAAATTAGTTAATCGAGGTATGATCGTGGAATTTTTTTTTTATTTGGGGGGCAAAGTGCAAAAATGACCAAAGTTAGGGGCAAAGTACAGTTAACCCTACTTTTAATTATGTGGTTTAATAATGTAAGGTTAATAAAGTAATTTTACATGAAGTACGATGGAGTACGACCTTTGTACGATCTATTTTTACTGGGTTCGTACTTTAATTTATAAATTCATAGGTTCGTACTGGATCGTACTAATTCGTACTTTAAATCAACGACTATAAATTTTTACTAAATATTTTCTACGCACCAGATTAAATCGTTTGGGTCCGAGTAGTACAACCCCTCTCGGACCCTAGACAACCCCAACTGTTTTAACTTCGAACGTGATTTTGACTCTCTTTTATTCTGATTTTGGCAAAATGTAAACATGGAAATTATAGCCATTTGAGCTGGCTTTCTAATCCAATTTGAATCAGCTAGATTGAATGTTATGTGAGAAAGTTATGCGTGAATTAATTACATATTGAATTTTAGTTAACTCAAAATATTGAAGTTGTGTATAATATTCATTGATTGGTTTTTATATTCCTCACATGACTTTCAATCTTGGTGATTCAAATTGAATTAGATCGCTGCCTCAAATAACTACAAATTCTGTGTTTTGAGTTTTGCTAAATTCAAATTCCAAAATGGTCAAAATCATCATTAAGTAGAAACGATATAATTAAAACTTAAAACGATATATATCACATCCATGTAAATTAACATTTGTGTTTCCATGATAAACTTAGAAAAGCCTATTGTAGAATGAGGTTCTTCAAAAAAGTTTAATGAATTAATATCACTTTGTTATTATCCTTGTTTTTTAGAATGCTGTTAATGTTATTATACACGAAACTTTCTATTTCTATATAAATTAATAGGGATTTAAAAATTGTTTGTTAATGTTATTATACACGAAACTTTATATTTCTATATAAATTAATAGGGAATTAAAAATTGTTGGGAGCATTGTCCCGAACCCTCTGCTAACTCCGCCACTAATCAATTGCAACATAATTTTTTTGACTAACTTATCATCTTCAATTTACTAATGAATGTCTATTAACTTTTTACTATAAATTTTATTAAATTATTTATACGATATCACATAATTAAATTATTAAAGAGTAATAATGATATTGATATTCAATGATAAAAGAGTGGCTTCCCCATGGGAATTAGATGCTAAAAGTAAAGGGGCCAAACATAGTGGCACTCTATAGTGACACCACACCATAAAATATTTTGCAAAAACACCCCTAGTGGGGGACCCTCTTTTTGGCAAAATTAATTTCAACACAATTAAAAAAAATATGTTTTAAATATTTGATCGAAAATCGAAAATCGAATTTTTTTATATCAAAACTAGTAGAATTGAAAAAAAAAATATATGTTTTCTTAATCTATAATATAAAATATGTAACAATATTGATATTTTGTAAATGTAGTTTTGTGAATTAGATGTTTTAAAGTTTATTAAGAAATTTGGAAGATAGACCAGGAATCGAAATCGACTACACGTTCCAATTCAGGCTAAAAAATAATTGAAAACCCGAATGAAATATAATAATGTGTTCAAAACACAACGAATCACAATCGACGCAAATCGTAATATTTTTTCGATTACGGCATTTTATCGAAATTTTGAAGGAAGTCAACCAAAAATTGAGCCAAAAAGTTGATAGAAGGTGATTTTTATATCCAATGAATTTCCAAAAAAAGAAAAGAAAAAAAAAAGAGTAAAAAGTAAATATAAAAAAAAATGGGTAACCTAACCCAAGTACAAATGAAGATGGGTTAAGTTTGACCACGCCCTAAGTTAACGACCGTTTGGACAACATCTGGAAACACGACACGTGTAACAACATAGTACAAATACAGATGACAAAAGTTTCGAGCTTTGGCTAAATGTGCAATTCCCCCAAGAACACTTTTTTAGCCACCATTTAAATTCCATTTTAATATTAAATTAATAACAACACTGTCCAAATGCAGACATACATACATCATACTGTATCTATATATATATATACTACTGTATACACACACACCTCTTCGCACCGTCACCCTTATTTCTCCGTCTAGAAATCTCCATTTCCAATTCCCCCCCTCCCTCTGTACACTCTCCCATCTCCCCCTTTCTCTCTCTAAACTCTCTCTCTCTCTCTAAACTTTCTCTCTCTTGCTGTTTGCTTTAGTTCTCATCAACCAGGTTGCGTAAATAAAAAGTTTAAATTAGCCACCTTTTTTAATTTCTTGAATAATCATGGCTGTTTTTGCGGTGGGCTTAGTGTTTCTCTTGGCTTTTGCAGGCTATTCTGGTAATTAAACATCCTCCCAATTTCTCTCTTCATTTCCAACATTTAATCAATCTTTTCAATTTTGTGTTTTTTTTTTTTTTTTTTTGCAGATGCAAGTTATTGTGTGTGCAATAATGGGTTGAGTGATGCTGTTCTTCAGAAGAACATAGATTATGCATGTGGAGCTGGAGCTGATTGCTCAGCAATTCTGCAAAGTGGGCCCTGTTTCAACCCTAACACCGTCAAAGATCACTGCAATTACGCCGTGAATAGCTACTACCAGAGAAAGGGCCAGATTCCCGGCAGCTGTGATTTTCAGGCCACTGCTTCTGTTTCAACAGTTGCCCCTAGTGAGTGTTGTTCTTTCAATGAAGCCCTTGATTATCGTCGAAAAATCGAATCTTTTTTCCGATTATTATAACATATGTTTATGTGTGTGTTTTTGTTGTCTTTGTTGATGATTGGCAGGTACAACTTCTGGATGTGTGTATCAATCTACTCCTAGGTAATTTGTTGTGTTCTTGATTGAATTCAACTAGATCTTCAAAGATTAATTAGTCGAATTTTAATTAAGTAATTGTAGTAAAAATTGCAACTTTCTTGATTATTTAGCCACTTTCTTGATTATTTGGCAACTTTCTTGATGATTTAGCAACTTTCTTGATTAATTATCAACTTTCTTGATTATTTGGCAACTTTCTTGATGATTTAGCAACTTTCTTGATTATTTTTTTTATTTAGCAACTTTCTTGATTATTTAGCTACTTTCATGATTATTTAGCAACTTTCTTGATTGGGATTATTTAAAAATTTGCGGTAAATAAATGAAGTTAGGCAATTCTAGTAGTTGGAAGAAGGTGCAAGATGTGAATTTGATCTCCATGAGTGGCGAACCGTCAGCTAGTAGTATGTCGACTTCGAGTCGAAAGTATTGACTTTCTTTTAGGGTGGGAAATGCGTAGTAGATCCAATGTAATAAACTTACCTTTAATCAGATTAGTTCCGAAAAACCCACCAAATATTATCATGTGAGCTGTCACAACAACGTTGTCGTTTTTCTTACACATACCAAACAATCACAATCACATTTTCTTGATGTCCTTATACTATGTACATGAACAAACAATGTAGTTCTGATTTCGGTCGATTTTTTTTTTGTGTAGCACTGGAGGCAGCACCACACCGGTCGTCGGAGGGACTCCAGCCATCGGTGGGACGCCAGCTGTCGGCGGGACCCCAGCCTTCGGTGGGACGCCAGCTGTCGGTGGGACCCCGACCATGGGTGGGACCCCCATGACTCCAACGATGGGCGGCGGGACCACCAACCCCGGTTCAACAATGACTCCAGGTTTTGGCCTTGGACCAACCGGAAGCGGATTTAGCAACACGGACAGCAGTGGCGGCGCGAAGGTGGTGCTATCCCGAAGCGGTGGCACGTTTGCGGTCCTCGGGTTAATCTTGATTACCGCAATTAGAGTGTAATTAAACTACCACTAAATGAGTTTGGTTTTGTTGGGCATATATGTTGGAATATGATTCTAGAAGAACTCCACTAGGGTTTCTTTTCTGTTGTGGTGGCAAAAAAAAAAAAAAAGAAGAAGAGGGGAATTGGATTCCCCTGTTAGTGGTAACAGAATATTCTGCTCTCTGCTGTTTAGATATTTTTTCCTTTGTGTACATCTGGATAGAGAGGCAGGATTAATCTTTGCTTTATTTTATTTTATTTCATTTTATTTTATTTTTGGAAAATTTAAATGATTTTGATACCCTGAAGTTTTGCCTGAATAAGATATTGTAGGGTTGACATTTAAAACTGCTGAATATTATGTGTTATTTGATATGATTAGTCAACCACCACTTGGCCTAAGAATCATTCCTCCCTCTTCTCATTCATTTTAATTTATCTGAAATGTCAAATGTCGTTACAATTTTACTGACGTTTCTATTATGATTTTGGCAAAATGTAAAACATGGAAGCTGTAGCCTTTTGAGTTAGCTTTCTGTCTAATTCATTTTGAATCGGATAGATTGAATGTTGGGTGATGATTGCGCATTAATTAGTTAGATATTGAATTTCAGATAACTTAAAACATAAACATAAAGTTGTGGATATATTCATTGATTCGTTCATATTTGTCCCACCTGTTTTTTAATCATCGTGACTTAAACTGGATTATAATGTTAGTTTAAAGAACTACTTTTTTTTTTTTTTTTTTTAATTTTACTAAATTCAAACTCCAAAATGGTCAGAAATCATCTTTAAGTCGAAATAACATTATTAAAACTGAACCGATGTTCACCATGTCCCTTAATTTATTTATATTTTATTATTTGACATAACAAATCTCTCTCCGTATTAAAATTATCCCGGCCCAAAAAGTTGAGTTCGGCCCAATTTTGGAACTAGTCCACATCATAACGAAATTATATTTTATTCATAAAAAAAATGATGATTTCTTTTTTTGATTTAAGTATAAAATTAAAAAAAGTATAATACGGTGTGGCAATTGTCTAAGTATAGTATTTTGACACTTTGCACCATCGAAGTAAATTAATAGTATTTG